CTATCTATCTATCTATCTATCTATCTATCTATCTATCTATCTATCTAACTATCTATCTATCTATCTATCTATCTATCTATCTATCTATCTATCTATCTATCTATCTATCCATCCATCCATCCATCCATCCATCCATCCATCCATCCATGTCTTTCTTCCTCATCTCTCTCCATCCATACCTCTCTCTCGCCCCCATCTCCCTCCCTCTTTCTCATCCCTCTCTCTCTCCTCCCTCCCTCTCCTTCCATCCCTCCCTTTCTTTCTCTCTCTCCATCCATCTCTCCTTCCGCCCCCCAGGTGCTGTGGAGGGACCCCCGTGATGGGGCGGCCGCATGGCGCCACCTGACCCAGCTGCCCGCTAAGAGCTTCAACCAGTGTGTGGCGGTGATGGACGGCTTCCTGTACGTGGCGGGGGGGGAGGACCAGAACGACGCCAGGAACCAGGCCAAGCACGCCGTCAGCACCCTCAGCAGGTCCGACGACTGGAGAGCAGAACCGGGCCGCTCAGGACCGGCCAGAACCGGCCCAGAGAGAACAGCTCAGGGCTTTATAGTAGATTTAGGTTTGAGGGGTTCAACTATGTCCCCATAGCAAAGGCCTCCAGGAAGTCATTCCTGCTTTTTGGCCTGCTGGGGGTCCGTATGGTCCACAGCAAACCTTTGGACCAGCTGGACTCCTGACCGGTCCCCGGTCCCTTCTGGAACAGGCTGAGTGGGCCGGTTCCTGTTTATTCCATATCTGAGGTCACCAGACCTGATGTTTCCAGATCCAGGCCCAGAAACAAGGGTGAGGCGACCTTTAATTCAGGATCAGAGCCCAGCGGGACGACCTGCCCCCCGTCCTGTCGGCCATTATGGCTGAAATGAGGTGGAACCCCAGTTCACTGCTTCTTCATTTGGTTAAAACGAGTTCAGGAAACAAACTAAGCAGAGAAATATTGGTGCGCTTTGCTTACTACAAACTGACGTCTTCACCAGATGTTGAAGTGACCCCCTCCCCCCCTGTGCCTCCCCCAGGTACGACCCCCGCTTCAACACCTGGCTCCACCTGGCCAGCATGCGGCAGCGGCGTACCCACTTCTCTCTGGCGGCCAGCGGCGGCCGGCTGTTCGCCATCGGCGGGCGCAACGTGGAGGGCCTGCTGGCCACCACGGAGAGCTACCTGCCCTCCTCCAACAGCTGGCAGCTGCGCGCCCCCATGGAGGCGCCGCGCTGCTGCCACTCCAGCGCCACGCTGCCCTCCGGGGACATCCTGGTCACCGGCGGCTACATCAACTGCGCGTACTCGCGCTCGGTGGCGTGCTACAGCGTGGAGAGCGACAGCTGGAGCGAGCGCGCCGCCATGGAGACGCCCCGCGGCTGGCACTGCTCCGCCGCCCTGGGCGGCCGCGTGTTCGTGGTGGGGGGCAGCCAGCTGGGGCCGGCCGGGGAGAGGGTGGACGTGCTGTCGGTGGAGGTGTTCTGCCCGGAGAGCGGCGCCTGGAGCCGCGCGGCGCCGCTGCCGCTGGGCGTGAGCACGGCCGGCCTGGCGCCGCTGGCCGACCGGCTCTACCTGCTGGGCGGCTGGAACGAGGCGGAGAAGCGCTACAAGGCGGCGGTGCAGACCTACGACCCGGCCACCGACAGCTGGGCCCGCGCCGGGGACCTGCCGGAGCCCACGGTGGGCGTGTCCTGCTGCGCCCTGCCGCTGCCGCCGCGCCAGGCGCCGCGCCGCCCGCAGCACCGCAACACCCGCGGCCCCGAGGAGCAGCCCCAGGCCGGCCGGGGCCCCGAGGGCAGCGCCCCCCCGCCACCGCAGCAGCCCGCCAGCGCCTAGGGCCGGCGGCTCCACCCCTGGACCACATCTGGATCCTGTCTTTTTCTGCTCAGCAGACGGACGCCAGCAGCAACGCAAAGAAAACCCTCATTTTACAAAATTATCTCAGTTTACACCAAAAAAAAAAGGATGCAAAAAAGGGATGTAAACATGTTAAAAAACAGCTGTAAACACAAACAGTACATATCCTTAGAGCTGAGCCAGAAAGGTTAAAAAAAGGGCAAGTTTAAGAGGATCCTTAACCTATTTATACATTTGTAACTTTCTTATTGAGCTTTAACAGGCAGGAAGTGTCTGGATCTGTCAGTCGATGCTTTCCACAAGTCTGCAGAATAAAAAAAGGACCCAATTAGAAATGAGGCGCAGCAGGTGCAGAGCCACCCCCCAAAAAAGGGGCGATTGATCTGAGCTGGTTTTCAGGAGGGAAGGAGGCCGCGAGGTCCAGGAAGGAGGTTTCAGAGGGATTTCAAATAGATGGAGCAAAGGTGGGTGAGCAGGTGGAGGATGAGGAAGGGTGGAGGGAAGGGCGGTGATGTGATGGATGCAGACGAGCTGGTTAAGGCGCAGACGACTGCAGCACTTGATAGTGTCGATTTGTCATCAGTGAGCCCAGAACGTTCCAGCTGAACGTATCCAGACCGCCTGGGTTTGATTTACTTCTTTAATGTGAGAAACAGCGTCGAAACTGTGACAAAAATAACTGAGAAACCATAAATGTAGAGCTTCAAATAAACGTTTTATAAGTGCAAAGGTGTTAGAGGAATAAGAAAAGTAGGATAAATACATAGTAATAAATGTAAAAATGTCCTGATTTAGAGGGTTAAAGATTCACCTGAAAGATTTATAAAATTAGAAAAAAAATTGAAGAAAAATCCAGGTAGTTTTCCTGAAAATGTGACTTATTTAATCTAAAACACAACTGGTGAAACTCTTGGAGGAGTTTGAAACTCGGCTGAATTTCTGTTCTAAACGGTTTCTGTGGAGTTTCACCGAATAAAACAATCTGACCAAAACAGGCTGATTCTGCTCTTTTCTTCTCACATCTCAAACTAACCTTCACAGACCAGATCTCTGAACTAACCCCAACTCTGACAGTTTAAAGGAAGATTAACAAACTCCATTTCATCCACATCTGGATAATGGTATAGAGAAAGACCCAGTAGTTACATTAAAAGAAGACCAGAACAGTTTCTTCTTTTTTCTTTTTTTATTACTTTGTTACAAACAAGAAAAAGAGGCGTTCCTTTACTTGCCGGGCAGGATGATGCCGTCGTACTGAAACAGAGCACAAAGGGTTCAGATTAAGTGGGGTTTAAATAAAAGGATCACATGTCTTAGACAAAATGTTCAGTTAAAATCCAGCAAATCTGGTAGCAGAAGTTTAAAACAAACACAGCTCTTAAAGTCAGAGCTCTGGAGCAACGATACTGCCACAAAACATCAATACTTTATCATATAGACCTACATGCAGAAAAACTCTGTTATAATTAACTATTAAAACATATAACAAGTATATAGCATATGAAATGCAATTTCTACATAATTTTTTTTACAGAAGTTCTTTTTTTTTTTTACATCAACTAAAAACAAACTTAAATAGGGTGACAAGTACATAAATGATCCCTAATTAAAGTTTGAAAAATGTCATATCAATATTCTATTAAATTATTCTATTTAATTTTTTTGTGTGACATGACTTATTTTTCTCCTGCATCTTTCAATATAATATTTTAAAAATGGCAGCTTAGGCGTTCCATACCCGACAGCTTAGACCGAGGCACCTCCCAACCGAGTTTATGGTGGAAAATTAAATATTCGAGCCGTTTCTAACTAAATCTATTCCTGTCGCACACTCCCACTGAGAGGCCAGCAGCCTTAAGGTTTGTTCACATACTCCGACCCCCCCTCTGAGGGGTTAAACCACTGGTTCTCCTGGAAAAGGCTGACTCACTTTCTGCTGGAACCAGCGCATGGCCTCCTCTTTGCGGATGCGGTGCCTGAAACCGATGCGGCCTCTTTTCCGTTTTTTGTCAGCGATGCTGAAGCCGGGTCTGCCCAGAACCTGCAGGGGCAGGTCGGAGAGAAAGATCCCGTTATGACTGGAAAACCACAGTAAAGGTTTGAGAGAAATCTACGCTGGATGGGGCAGAAACTTTTAAAATCGTGTGACTATGGACTCAGCTTTGAAAACGCCACTCAAACTGAGACGTTTGCACCAAACTATCAAAGTCCTGTTGAAAAAATGTTTAAAATAAACTGAAAAAGCTTATTTGATCACACCGTTATCTTATAATACACTCGTTCATTCATTCAGCTTTAATCTGTTCATCCATCAGATGGCACCACTTTTCCCCATCAAAGCATGGATCAAAATACACCTTTTTCCTGTTTTCCTTCAGTAAAAATGGAGGAAAATCAGAGGGACTGCTGATCAGTGGAGTCAGTATAGGGAATAAGGACAGTAGTTCTATGAACAAAATTAAATTCCCCCAACACATTTATATTTTATATGAATATTCAAAGCTGAAAAAGTTAAAGAACTGAAGCATTTAAGAGGGAAACATTTTTGAATATTTAGTTTTTGGGACTATGAAGTTAAACACAAATATGAAAGTATTAAGACTTTAAAAAACTTAAAGTATTACTTAAAAATTAAAGCCAGCTGATATGTTTATTTACTTAATTGTACAGAAATGAGGGAACGGTGACAGTCTTCAGTAGGGAATAAAAAGGAAACTTACTAATCAGATAACTTAAAATATACTCCTTAAGAACCTTTCACATTACACAACAGGCTCAATGTTTGGACAGCTGCGCATTTTCTGCCTTCATTTTGATCCCCGTCACCCCAAAGGAGACGCTTACCACGTAGAAGTCCAGCCCGTAGATGCCGATGCTGGGGTCGTACTTGATGCCCAGATCGATGTGCTCCTGGATGCCGAAGCCGAAGTTCCCAGTGTCAGAGAAGTTGTTCTTTCTCAGTTCATACTCTCTGACCTGGAAGAGGAGCAGAGGAAAAACTGTTTTAGAAAAGTAAATAATGACCTTTAAATCTGCTGTAAGTCACTAAAAACAGGCATGAAAACCACAAAAGTAGAGGACTGCACTTATTTTGAACCTCTGTGAACAAGTGTGAGATTTCTTTACCAGAAAACCCCTAAAACTTTTAGGATGTCTTCAAAACTTCTGTATTCTGCACGTCTCATTTAGAAACATAACTAATATGACCATTTGCATGAAGAGGTCTTTAAAACACATTCTGTAGAAGAAAGATGTCATCCACTGGCTCAGATTTACACAGAGAAAGACTTCAGGATTAAGGCAGGAGTAAAAAAACAGAAAAAAAAACATCTGGGCCCTGAACATGTGCAGCCATACACAGATTATTTTTCCCGTCAAATTAGCCATACAAACACCAAAGAAGCTCATTACACGATAAAGTAACTGATTTCTGAGGCAGTTTCAGAATTAAATGTTTTCCAAAGAGTCACAGATTTGAGTTTTAAGGCGTTTTCAATCCTCAGGTAGGAGAAAGGGGCCATCAGAGTAGCTCACCTTGAGTCCCTTCTCCAGGATCTCCTCTGCTTTGGCTCCACGGACGGTGCAGTGGACAGCAATCTTTTCATTTCTGCGAATACCGAAGGATCTCACAGTGTAGCGGGCTGCAGGTGAGACAAAAACAAAGCTTAAGACCGGCCCTGACTCCCGGCTGTGGCGTTTCTCCTGGACAGACACTGACCCTTGGAGAAGACGGGTGTCTGGCCGGTGAGCTGCTCCAGCACTTTGGCAGCTCTGGTCAGCCTATCGCCACTTTCACCCACACAGATGTTCAGGCAGAGCTTGCGGATGCGGAGCTCTCTCATGGGGTTCTCCTTCTTTTCACCCTGGTCCTGGGAACAAACAAAATAAGAGCCAGTTAGCAAACCGGAAAACCCTCACACCTGGATAACTGCTACTGCAGCGGTGGCCCATAGGTACAGGGCAGTACCACACACGGATCAGCTAATGGACTAGATAATATCCGGCCTGATGCATGTCATTCACGGCTAAAAAAGCCTCTGATTGCCCAGATCCTGACAGTTCTTCAAGCAGCTTTCAGAAGCACACGCCGGCCGGAGGACATGTCCGTACATATCCCCGCTGCTACCGTTAGCATAACCATCATTAAACACCACTAACGACACTAAATAGAGAGCCAAAAACACCAAAACCCAAACAGACAACAACGTAACGCCAAGCCGATGTCCTCGTCTTAAAAAGAGGCCATATCATCACATTTAAAGGCACATGAAGGGTGTCGGATGACTTATGGCGCTTACCCTGCTAGCTGCTATAGCTTTTCAGTTTTAACATTATTTCATTACGTTTATTACGCAAATATGACTCTGGATTTATTGTTAATCGTGTAATCTGAGTCTTTGAGGACCAATAAGTCGTTTGAGGGACGTTTAAACTCCGATGATTGCGGATTTCGACTGTAACTTCGTGTTTGATCACCATCGTACGATGTGGGACGCTACTCACCGCCATGTTGGATCACTTGAAGAGGACGTGACGTTTCCGGCGGAAAGCTTTTATACGCGCGTGTTCAGATTAAATAGAGTCGGGTGAATGCTGTGGAAAAAAGGGGGTTCCGCTTCATGCGAAAAAGTAACCAATTAAATACACATTAATGATCAAACTACGTCCCTGTATCTTTTCCACTTACTAAGTCTGATCTTTTGTTAACAAATGCTTTTACTGAAATGTAATAGTGAACATAACCAGCAGCCTTTTGTAAGATGGTCCAAAGTACTTTTATTAATTCAGTTTGTCCAAACTTTGCTGAAAAATATTACGATTAAGTAAATTCAGGTTGTACCTTCATTTTAACAAGACATGTTTTTAAGATGTAATATAGAAATTTGATATGTCGTTTTTCTGTTTATTTGAATTGAGTTTCAGAACCATGAATCATTCAAACCTTTGACTCCTTTATATTTAAATGTTCAATTCAATTAGATTTTATTTATATAGTGCCAAATCACAACAACTCACAGCGCTTTCCAAACAGAGCAGGTCAGACCAGACTCTTAAGTCATTTACAGAGGCCCAACAATTCCTGGTTATACTTTTCTACACACATTTAATCACTGCAAAGACTTAGAACATCCATCAATTTTCTAGCTTTGCTAGGTTGAAGGAAGACCATAACCTGGACCGAACTGAACTTTTTAGGTACCTCCAGGTGAGTTGTCGCTTTGAACATATCAGAAAGGAAACAGACCCATCCATCCATCCATCCATCCATTAGCAATACCGCTTATTCCCTCATGGGGTCGCGGGGGGAACTGGAGCCTATCCCAGTGGTCAACGGGCGAGAGGCAAGGTACACCCTGGACAGTCCGCCAGTCCATCGCAGGGCCACACACAGGACATACAAGGACAAACAACCACTCACACTCACATTCACTCCCAAGGGCAATTTCCCCAATCTCCAACCAACCTAACATGCAGGTTTTTGGACTGTGGGAGGAAGCCGGAGAACCCGGAGAGAACCCACGCAGACACAGGGAGAACATGCAAACTCCACCCAGAAAGGTCCTGGTTCCCCCGGGATTCGAACCCAGAACCCTCTTGCTGGGAGGCGACAGTGCTAACCACCACACCACCGTGCCGCCCTGGAAACAGACCCCTACATCCAAAATCTTTATTGATGCTTATCAAGAAAAAAAAAAAAAAGAAAAAAAAAATACAGCCAAAGCAACAATGACCACCCAGATTAGTTTGTTTCTCATCTTGGTGACAAGAGAGGATTTTTCAAGTTGATTCTCAGAGGTCGTTTCTTTTGCAAACGCTGCTGTTTCCAGAAAAGAAACGGGTGCCGGAGGCTTGAGCAGGGGAAGGCCTTCCACCATCTGCTCCTCCAGGGCGTTGGTGAGGAAGTCCCGCGCTTTGCGAGGGAAGAGGGCCTGCGAGAAGAGGTTGCATTCAGGTACAAAGAAGTGAGGCAGATTGCCTCTGCGGACGTAGTCCTGCAGAGCGGAGACGAGGATCAGGAAGCACGCAGGAAGCTGAGGGCGGGTCCAGTCGGCGTCATCGTACCTTAAAGATGACAGCAAACAGGAGAGATGGAACAAACCAAAGAATCTGGAGGAATGACTGTATGACAAAGCAACAAAACCCCAGGTCTGCTTTGCATTTATCTCCAAGGTAGCATGTTCTTCTCTTTTTTTTTTTTTAAATTTGACTACATTCTCTGAGAATTTTACTGAGATTTGTGAGACAGGATTTGGTCAAAACACCAGCTGGTCCCAGGAACAGGAAGCAGGGATTCCACTTTAAATGTAATCCAGGAGAAGGTGGAATAACTTATGAGTACCTCTCAGTCAAGGTGTGGAGGAAGGTGGTCTTCCCATGGTAGGAGCAGAGGGGTTCCAGCTCAACGGGAAAATGTAGTTTCAGACTCGCAATCAGACACTTGAGAAGCATCAAGCACTGTTTCCTGTGAGAAAAAAAAGAGAATTTCCAGATTTGTTCTTATTTCTCTTTATTTCTCGACACTTACACTTCAAGGAGCCCTCATGATACAAACAAATGAAAATGGAGGTCTGATTTATCAAATTTTCTACTTAATTACTGTCCAAAAAGCCTCTTTCTGTGCATCATTACCAAAATAAACATGATAACAATCACAATGATTTAAATTATGCGATAATTAGAGTAATTCCATTCCTATTTTTATTAAAGAAATAAAGGAAATTATTTAACATTTTCAAAAAAGGCAATAATAGAATTTTTTGTTGCTTTTAAGGTTTCCATTAGAAGAAAAAATGATTAAATGTTTGAGTTTCTGCTTTTCAGAGAAGCTGTCTCCAGCTCCTGAACACGTGTTTCCACTTCTCTCTGTGATATCTGCTGGAATAGATCTCATTTAGTGGAAATCAGAGTTAGTTATGGGGGGAAAAAAAGCAGAAATTTAAAGTTGAAATTTGAGATATCTTATTTATTTTACTTTAGTCATTTATCTTTTTCCCAAATTAGTTGTTGGGATTTATGGAACTTTATCTGCTTCTTGTGGGAAAACTGACATCTTTTCATCCTTTTTTTGTATAATCATCACCTATTTTCAGAGGGATTCTTCATCAAACTGATCACTTTAACCGTCATTTTAATTTCTCAGGATAAACACTTCTGAAGCATCCAGGTCATTTTCAGCCCCAAAGAGGAAAACAGGAGGGTTAAATGTGAGGAACCAAATTAACTCACCGGCAGCATTTGGTGCCATTTCTCTCACAGCAGGTTTTCTTGTTGCCATGAGAGGTGATGATTTTCTTCTCGATGTGAGAGAAAGAAATCCTCCAACTCTCTGATGAAGAGAGAAAACCCCCATCAGCAGCCCGTGTGCAACGGTTAGAGATCCAACGGGAAATAAAACTGTTTCCCTTTGCTTTTTTACACTGAAAGTTGTTGTCTAATGAATCCCCATGCAGAGAAAATGGACTCAGTAAAGCTCCACATTTATTTCAAATTACTTTGTTTGCAGCTTTGGACGATCTAATCACCTAAAATCAACAAAAATGTGAACTTTTCCCACAGATTTTTCCCTCCAACCTGACAGATGTGAACACTTCCTGGACAAAAAGGCTCCTTAAATACATGGACATGCATCTTCTCATGTGCACGGGCCAGTTTACAGAGGATTTTGAGAGCTTTTTCAGCACTCATGGCCTCAGAGTTTTATTCTATGTGGTGCGTTCATGTACTGGTGGAAAGCTGGGACATCTGAGCTACAACTCCTCTGATGAGTTGGTCTTCATGTTTGGGCTAAACGTTCTCTCACCTTTGGCGTCCTGGCTGAGGTTTCGTCCTTTCATCCTCTTTGGCACAAAGTAACATGGCAAGCTTCGGATTTCTTGACGAACCTTCTTGCCCAGCCAGTTATCCACTTCTGGACCGTTGCGGACCACAGGGGGCCAGGCCTGAGCCTCCAAGCAGACACCAGGACAAAATTCAGAATCACGTTTGACTGGCCTGTCAACGGCTAACATCTTTTCTCACTGGCTAACAAGCTTACATCTTTGTTATTGGCTAACCAGCTAACATCTTTCACTGGCTAACCAGCTAAAGTCCTTCACTGGTTAAGTGTTTATCCAACTAACGTCTTCCACCTGCTACCTAGCCAAATAGTTAACGTCTTCACTGGCTAACTTTTACTTAGACATTTATAAGGAGAGATTAGTTTAAAAAGTAGTTCTAAATCTGTAAATTTGAATCTGAAACAGTGAGACAATAATAATGCTAATTATTATCATTGCCCGTATTTGAAAACCTCACTGAGAAAACACACACATGCAGAAATAAAAGTGTATGTGTGACCGTGGCCCTTTGGGTCAGACGCTCACCTCCAAAGCGGGCACCACGTCCACGGAGATCAGCTCGTTGTTGTCGCTTCTGCACAGCGACAGCGTGACAGCCGGGCAGTAAATCCGCTTCTTGTTCACCTCCCAGCGACAGTGTTTGTCAGGAGCTGGAAACAAAAGAGGGCTAACGCATTAATCCACCGAGTCTGGCCCGTTTCTGACCTGTTTCAGGGGCCTTTCTGAGACAGACAAGGCAGAAATACCTGACAGATAAAGAGGAAATAGCTCTGAGGAGTTAGTGAAGAACAAAGCTAAAACCGGGGCCTGTTAGGGTTAGGGGGAAAAGGATCTTATTTTATGAGTGTGGGGACCTTTGTAGGTCTTGAGGAACTTCCGGACCAGGCTGTACATCTCAGAGAGGATCTTGCTGGATGAGAGGGTGAGCCTGTTCTCCAGTAGGAGGTGCTTGATGGGCAATCGGGTGGGCCTTTTCAGGTCCAGCCGGTAGAAGAGGCCGCCGTCCAGCCTGGTCGTGTCGAAAGGAGGAGGAACCTGAAGCTTCAGCATCATGTCAAACTCATCCGGGCTGTGGATCTGAGCATGGAGAGAGACTAGTCATCTTCCCCTCCTGGTTGAAAGGCCTGTTTTTTCTTCCTTTTAGTCTTTTTTATTACTTCTCTCTGTTCCTGTCTTTATTTTTTAGCTCATTACTTCTTTTCATTCTTTCAAATGTTCTCTCCTTAAGTAAATTATTTAATTCCTCCCTTTATTCCTTCCCTGTTTTCTTAGTTACGTTGCCTCTTTCTGACCTTTATGGACAGATTCCTTCCTTCCTTTTGGTTCCTTCCCTCTCTTCCTTTCCTTTCTTTCTTATTTATCATTTATGATTTATCATCCCTTTTTTATTTTCTGTTAAACATCCCTTCTCGCCTTTCGTTGTCTCGCCTAATCTGTCAGTCCTTCTAATTCTTTTATTCTGTCTTTCTTTTATTTTTTACCCCTCTCATTTGTTCCTTCCCTCTCTTCCTTCACTGATTCCTTTCTCCATTCATTATATATCTTATTCTTTACTTTGTCTTTAATTTATCCCCTTAAAACTTTCTGTTGGACCCATTTATTCAAACCTTTTTTGATTATTATCATTGTTATTATTATATTATGATATCATTACTTTAATTAATTTAATTAATGTTCTTCCTTGTTTCCTTGCCTCCTTGTCTCCTCTTCCCTCATACCTTTTTTTCCCCCAACCCTCCTGAGTTCAGTACAGAGTAAACTAACTTCTTCCTGTAAAACAAGCCCCAGGAGCTCAGACTGCTGTTGTTTCTGTGCTCCAGCCTCTCAGATAATCTGCGTGATGAGTGCTTAAAGTCACCTTCACTTTCTCGAAGTAGCTGCCGGTGGTGAGGAGCTCGGCCGACTGGAACAGAGGCTGATCGTTGTTGCTCCTCAGGAACCTCATCAGGTGTTCCCGGAAGTCGTTGACCACCTCGGCCGCCCAGCTGCGCTCGGCCTGGTGGATCTTCAGCTCCCCGACGATGCGCCTGATGTGTCGGGCCAGTTCGGGGGGGACGGGGCCCCGCCCCTCGGCCTCCCCGCCGCCTTCGGCCGCGCCTGCCTGTTGATCCTGGGCTGGCCTCCTCTGCCTGACCGGGCCGAGACCTGGAGACCTGGCCTCCCTGTCCATGTCGATCCCAGGTGACCTGCAGCTGGAGGCCAGAGATCCACACACAGCATGAGCAGACGCGCCCATAAAAAGCCCTCCATGGAAATTAATGCCCTCCCAAAGAGCTGGAAAAGGGCAGAAAAAAGGCCCCAAACCCAAGGGATGAGCCAGCGCTGTGTCCAGCTCAGAGAAGCAGCTTTTTTTTGGCAAAAATGTGTTTATTCAAGGATTTTACATACTTCCACTAAAGTGAACAGCATCTGTTTTAAAATGTCCTCCTATGGACATACTGTTTGTTGCTTTGTGAGCATATTCAGACGTTTAACAGAATGCTGCATGCAGGTCTCATCTTGTTCTATTTATGACTCCTATCCTCCTTTTCCTCTCTCCTGTTCATTCAACCCTCTGATTTCTGCCCTTCTGATAAAAAATCCTTGTGTACACTAAAAAAAGGCTTTCAAAAAGCCTTCCACTGTAGTGGCCGCATTACATGAAAGGGTTAATGCTTGAAAAAATTACTTTTCCTGGCCTTTCCTGTAAACTTAGGACACAAAAAGAGAGGCTGAGGCCTGTTTAACCCGGCTGTTTGTGGGTAAATTGTTGTTGTTTCCTCTGTGGATCTCCGCTGGCCTTCTGCAGAGCTTAAAGAGCCCGAGGGCTCTCCCTGTTATTCAAATGAGGTTTCTTGGAGCAGGAAGCCTTAAAATGAGGCAAAGCAGCGTGCCCTAACGGCCCGGACCGATGTAGGGCACAAAGTCCCCAAACAAACAAGGTCCAACAGGTTCTGGGAAATGACATGAAAGGATAACGCCCTTTAAACAAACAACTCTTCACATCTACAGGCAGCCTCTCTGCTTTAACAGCAGTTTCAAATCATTTCCCAACACATTTTCCTTTATAACGCTTCTTTACTTTATTGAAAAATATTTTATCTTAATTCAATTAAGGTGAAAAAAAGTAAGAGGAAGGCAGAAAAATCTCATCATCGTGCGTTAAACCATCACAGCATTTGTTTTTTTCCTCACTCTTCCATTTTAATTCCACTCCTGAGATGCTTGCGATCTCTTCCCGGCATCAAAGAGAACCAAAAAGATAAAGAAAGATAAAGATAAAGTCAGAAACCGGCGGGTCAGACTCACCTGATGTCCGCTCTGCTCTGCGGGCTGCTGGAGGAGCTGTGAGAGGAGGAGAGATGCTCTGGTGGGGGGGCAGCTGTGGGTGGGCAATACTGGAAACGTCTCACTTTCGCTTTCAATTTTGCATAAATTTGAACCAGCTGCGAGACCGCTCTCCTCTTCTTTAAGCCCCCACAGGCGTGGGGGACCAATGGGGCTTTCAGTTTCGCCGGAAGTGACCTGTTCAGGTGGCGGGCAGGGGGGGGGGGGGGGGCCCAGGGGGGGGGGGGGGGGGGGGCGGGGGATGGGGGGGGTGCCGGGAATCAAGCTTCTATCGTGTTGAGGGGAGCTGGCGGCTGTCCACAGCCTGTTTTAAATGATGTGTTTTAATTATGGGGTTGAGCAATAAAGGTTTCCACAGTCCAACTGAGTCAACGGCTGACTTGTTGTAGTCGGTGTAAACTGTTGAATCAACTTTTTTTGCTGTATGACTGGATGGTGATATTAAAAAAATGATATTTTCAACTGCAAAACAGAACTGTTATTGATATCAGTGCATTTCCTAACATGTTTGCTTGAAAAATGGAAAAAAATATGAAAGAACATCGTTATTTCTGATGACTAAGTCAGAATCTGTTTGTTTTTTCCTGAACAGAAAAGAGTGGATGAATGTTCTGCTTCCTGCTTTTCTGACTTCTCAGCGAAACTGGGTTTGAAATCCTGATGAGCTGAAAATGGTGAAACACTGACACAAAACTGACAGAAAAAAGACATGAAGACACTAAAGAGAGACAGAGTGACCAAAAACAGGGCAAGTTTGACCATGAAACACAAAATTACCCCAAAAATGGAAACGTGGAAACTTTGTGGGACCTAATAACCAGAGATGGAGAGAAAAACAAGCAGAGGAGGAATGGAAGCTGTTTTCAGGGCAGAGAGAGATTAAGCTTAAGCTGATTCTGAGAGGAAAAAGTAAATAAATTTGTCATGAGTCATAGCTTTTTCATGCCCCCCTCTTCATGGCTCCTCTGTTACCAAATGTTCTTTGAGAGTAAACTTCAGCCTCAAAGCAGCTAGATTTATTCTCTTTGTCAACAGAATGTTATCTGAGTTTTTGTTCATTTCTAATAAGATCCCTGTTTTAGCTGAAACAGCTTGTCCCCCTTCAATAATCCCTTTATATGTAGTAATTCCATTCAATAACGATGAGCTTCTGGAGTCACAAAACACAACAGACCGGTTTCAGAGCTTTATTGGTTTGAGCTTAGTCGAGGTGCGAGTTTCCCGCCGGGGGCACGAACCCTCCTTTCCTGCGGAAACTCTTGCGATGGGCTTTAATCAGCTTTAGCCAGTCCTTGAGCAGACAGCTCAGAGAGGACGCCGCCGGGTGGCGTGGGAGGGGAGGGGCGGCCCGCTGCTGCTCAGACGCCGTGTCGCGCCGGGCGCCGAGCAACAGGATTCATTTCTTCTTATCGGCCTTCTGTGCCGACTTGGTGACTTTTCCGCCGCTGGGCGCCTTCTTCTCCACGCTCTTGATGACGCCGACGGCCACCGTCTGCCTCATGTCACGCACGGCGAAGCGACCTGAGAGGAGAAGCAACGCGGATGGTTTCAAGAGCTGACACACACGAAAACTTTCACAGGGTCCAGACTGGTTTTATGAGTCTGCAGCTTTGATCTCAGCCTTTCTCAGCCTTTTTCTTAATGTGTCAGAAAATGACTCATCTTGTGCACCATGTAAAGAATAAAGTATTCTAGCTCTTCATTTATCTTTTAAATAATAAAGGAAGCAGTAAGAATTGACTTTTTGGCTGCTTTTAACCGACCTGTCGTCCTCCAAATGACTTTTTCTTGACTGGGATTACAATCAGTGTTTCTTATTTCTACTAAAAAATCTCTTCTTTTAAAAATATGAGAAGTAAAATTCAAACCCGTTTTTTAATTAAATATTTTTTACCGGAATCCATTTTAACCGTTTATGCTCTTAATTCATTTGAATCGAGAAGCAGGAAAACTGGTCCTGAGGACCAGGACTGGGAAACTGGACCAGATATGGTGTAATTCAGAAGCAGAAGGTTTTCCAGAAGAGTTGTCACTAAACATTGTATGATAGTAATATAACCACATCTTTACAGGTCGTCCTATTTAAGTAAATTATGTTTGAAATGTAAATAATGAAAATATGACTAAATGTCTAATTAAAAATGCAAAAGCTCTTCTTTATCCCTTTAAAGTCTGACCCTAAAATGAATTAAAATGTTTTTTTTTTTTTAAAGGCTTTAATAAAATGTAAATAAATATATGTAAAATTGACAATTTTTACATGCACATTTATTCAATAGTTTGAGGACTTTTTAATTTTTTCCCCCCTAAATAAAAATAAAGGGATATACTCTTTGATTGCTTAAATCAGAACAAATATATTGTTCTATATATATACATAAATATTCATTCTGTCCCATCATGTTTTATCTGAGCTGTATTAAAACAAAGGGACAGAAATTCAGTCTTTGGTAGGATGAGCCGTTTCAGTACGAGCAGATTTGAATTGTTCAACAAAAGCCTCATAAACAAGTGCTGATCACAGAGGTGGTCCACTCACCCAGGGGGGGGTACTGGGAGAAGCTCTCCACACACATGGGCTTTCCGGGCACCATGGTGATGATGGCGGCGTCCCCAGACTTCAGCGCCTTGGGGTTGTCCTCCAGCTTCTTGCCGGAGCGGCGGTCGATCTTCTCCTTCAGCTCGCTGAACTTGCAGGCGATGTGAGCGGTATGGCAGTCCAGCACGGGGGCGTAGCCCTGAGCGATCTGCCCGGGGTGGTTCAGGATGATGACCTGCAGCACACACCAGACCAAGAAACATGGATCAATATCATGCACTCACACTACGACACAGCCTGAGGACACCTGGAGGAGTTTCTGTATATGGAAACCAGCCGGATGCTTCCTGCTCTGCTGGTTAAACTCTGACAGAAACCTGTCTGTGATCACACATCAACATCTGAGCCTCTGGTCCAAACTAGAATCCAGAGAACTCAGACTTTTGCTGGTTTTCCTCCAGAATGAGGTTTCACTTCCTGGAAATGAGCTCTGTTCCAGCATCCAGAAATGAAGGAAGGATGTGCTAAAACCAGTCGACTAAAGGCTGGAACTCAGAGCTGTGGATTATTTTAGACTTCCTGCTTTAGAAAACAGCCACTCTGAGATGGAGGAGAACAGCTGGACTGTTTGCTGCCATTCAAACCCTGAAATGCTTCAGATCAGCATCCTGATCAGCTCTGACAGCAGCAGGTTTTCCATCCAGCTGTGAGCCACTGATCAGAACCAGAGAGGAAACTACTCACACTTTCTGCCTCCAGAACCAGCTCTGATAGAAAATATGTCAACAGGAGGGAAAGGAGTTGACAGATGCAGAAACTCTCATATATGGAGAGAATCTGGGCTGTAAATCACTCTGTAACTCTGGGTTCTGCAGGTGTTTTGCACACAGAGCAGCTCATAAATTGTTGGAGGATCTCTTCAGTGTTCACGCAGCTTGAAACCCTGACTAAAATACCTGCTCTTAGGTTACCTAGGAGATCAAAAAGATTAAAGTGATGATGGAAATCTTCCTCCTGCTGCTCACCTGAGCTGTGAAGTTATCGGCGGCCAGTGGGGGGTCGCTCTTGCTGTCGCCGGCCACGTTTCCACGACGGATTTCCTTGACGGACACGTTCTTGATGTTGAAGCCGACGTTGTCGCCAGGAAAAGCCTCGGGCAGGGACTCGTGGTGCATCTCCACAGACTTGACCTCAGTGGTCAGGTTGGGGGGCGCGAAGGTGACGACCATGCCGGGCTTCAGGACGCCGGTCTCAACACGGCCCACGGGGACAGTTCCAATACCTGAGAGGGCAGAGACGCTGGTCAGGCCGGCCTCACCGAGAGGGGCTCCTCTGGTAGGAGACTCTGTTACCGGGACAGCCTGAACAGCCTTTATCAGGGTGGAAATATCTGTACAGGTTTTGTCACACAAGGCTCCCCAGGGCTCTGTTTGAGGCCCTTTATTATTCTCTCGGCCAGCTGTAAAGTAATTCTTTTATTTTAAATTCCATTGATTTTACAGTAAGTGAATGGCACACAGAAACAAAAGTTTGTCCTTTTTCTTATGCGCTGACGCAGCCAACAGGGATATCTATAAAAAGATGCGTTTGTAAGAAAGTTTAATTTACCGCCAATTTTGTAGACGTCCTGCAGGGGCAGACGGAGGGGCTTGTCGGTGGGGCGGCTGGGGGGCATGATGGAGTCCAAAGCCTCCAGCAGGGTCACACCGGTAGCTCCACCCTCCTTACGCTCAATCTTCCAGCCTTTGAACCAGCTCATCTGAGATGGAGCAAAAAGATTGAATCAATGACCAATATAGGATGCACTGTAGGGGTGAGAAGTGGTTTTAGAGCAGTAGACGCTTACTTTGTCGCTGGCCTCCAGCATGTTGTCTCCATGCCATCCAGAGATGGGGACGAAAGCGACGGTGGCGGGGTTGTAGCCGATCTTCTTGATGTAGGTGCTCACTTCCTTTGTGATCTCCTCGAAACGCTTCTGGCTGTAAGGGGGCTCGGTGGAGTCCATCTTGTTGACACCAACGATGAGCTGCTTCACACCCAGGGTGTAAGCCAGCAGGGCGTGCTCACGGGTCTGTCCGTTCTTGGAGATACCAGCCTCGAACTCACCGACGCCAGCAGCTACAATCAGCACGGCGCAGTCAGCCTGCGTGGGGACAGTTCGTTAGGACATGCATTTCAAACGGCCAAAATGACCTGAAAAACAGCACAAAGCCATGAGAACATCCACCTGAGAGGTTCCAGTGATCATGTTCTTGATGAAGTCCCTGTGTCCGGGGGCATCAATGATGGTCACATAGTACTTGCTGGTCTCAAACTTCCACAGAGCGATGTCGATGGTGATACCACGCTCACGCTCGGCCTTCAGCTTGTCCAGCACCCAGGCGTACTTGAAGGAGCCCTTTCCCATCTATAGAAATAGAACAATGCTTTAATGATCACTTCACTAACATTTGGATGCTTTTAACCAATCCTGGATTATTGATGTGTGATACTCAAGATCAAAGCATTTAAATACACTGAGGGATATTCATAAAAATTAAAACCAAATCAATACATGATTCAATTTCACACAACTTCACCATTTGTCCTTTTCAAAGAAACATCCATGGTAAAAAATAAAAAAAAATTAATGAGGGTTTAAACAATTTTCTTTTCTAAATCAAGTTTATTCTCGATCTTTTCTCCATACAGCGGCCTTCAGGCCCCCGCTGAACAGAAAGTGCATCGTCACCATTTACAATGTCCGCCGTCAAGCCCCACCCCGCCTGCGTACGTGCGCGCACACGGCTGCGCTCCACCCTCGTGCCGGGCAGCTGAGCTCACAGGAGGCACGCTGGCGCCGCCATCTTGGAAACGACTAACGGCTCAAAAAAGATAAAATGTAGCGCGAGCACTCACCTCGGCTGCTTCCTTTTCGAACTTCTCGATGGTTCTCTTGTCGATTCCTCCGCACTTGTAGATCAAGTGGCCGGTGGAGGTGGACTTTCCGGAGTCGACATGGCCAATGACCACGATGTTGATGTGGGTCTTTTCCTTTCCCATTGTGTTAGTTTCTGTGAAAAAGGGAGAAAATGTATGTAAACGGCTAACGGCCACATTCCAACACGTATTTTTCAGTTAGGGTGGCGGAAGAGTATAGGGTAAAAAAAAGGGGGGGGGGACGTTCACCGAACAGCGGCGTACTGGGCTTGGTTCACCACTCCCTCGAGTCATTTTAGTAATAAATATTTTTTCAAAAACGACCATATTAAAAATATCGACACATTCAAGCGAACCGTGCCAAAATTAACAACACTTTTAGTCGTTAGTTGGCGGTTAAAGGGCAGTTGGGGCCGGCGAGAGGCGGCGGCTACCGCTAGGCCTCACTCGGCCACAGGCCAGCCGAGACACGTGTTACTCCCAGAGCCACGTCGGATAAAGTTACAAAGATCGCCAAATATTCAGGGGCTATCTGGTCCAGGCTTCCCAACACCTGTCGCTGGAAGTATGTCCAGTTGTTTCAAAGGAGGAGAGGGAAGAAATACCAGCCAAGCATCCTCGGATGTCAGTTTTCCCAGACTCCTTTGTTCCCTTTTCCCCCACATTTTCTCCTCCCTGGTTTATCCTCCATTGTCCAAAAAGTTTTGAGTACTATTATTTAGGCCCCACGCAATTAACATCCATTTGGGATATGAACCACAGCCGTAATCACATTTCTTTTCAAAGCGATTTTTAGCGATAAATCCACAGGTTAGCGTCAAGTTACATAACGGAAAAAAACTTCTGCTTTCACGTCGTTTAACAAAAATGGAGGGACTTCATAACAGGCGACATAACTAAAGATACGTCAAATAGTTCCGGGCCCGGGTCTGACTTTCTGTCCAGCTAATGAATCAGAGGTGGACTTACCGGTGTTTCTGGGTTATCACGGCCAAAGCTGCTGCCCCTAGCCAGGTAACAGAAAGAGGACGATTGGGGCCGGACTGGGAGGTTTTATACTGGATGGGAGGCGGCTTGACTTCCCGTCGCCCTCCGCGGTGCAAACCCCGCAAATCACACACATTCTTGCAAAAAACGTCAGCACGCCGCCGGATGAAACGCCTCACAAACATGTATGAAGGCTCACGGAAAGGGATGGCGGCGCCCATCAGCTCCGACCACCGAGAAAAAGCCTTAAAATAACCACTCAAACATTCAAATCTAACTTTTTTTTCTGCCTACCTGCAAACTTTGAGCAGTATTAGCTCACATAAGGCAGGAAACAGTTTTAAGTGTCGTTCTAAATCAAAATCGGGCACAAATATTGGGATAATTATGCTTATTTTTGTTGTGATGATGTGAGTTTTGAACCTGAACATGTAAAAGTGGAGTGAATACCCATTTTTATTTTAAAAAGTGAGACTTTTTAGCCAAAGGCAATGTCATGCAGCTGATCAGAACTCACTTATTATTGGATTATTTATTAGAATTTCTGTGTAAAAGGCTTACAAACATCATTCAGATGTAGAAAAAACACACTTTAGACGACATGGACCCCCTCCTGCTCCCCCCCCATAGTCCCACCCACCGGTAACTCAGGGACGCTCATCCCCCCGATTAGATTATCTAAATCCGAGTGGGAGATTTGCATTCAAACAGAGGCCAGACTGTGAAAAGATGAACTCCTGCTGTTCTTGAGACACTTTATCTCCCATGCATTTACACTCCCTGCACACGCATATGCAGGAGTTTGATTGAATTAAAAGTCAATTGGGAGCCATTAATGTGCTGGTTTATTTCATAATATTCCTCTTGTTTGAAATAAAACAAGCTTAGGAAAGTTAAGCTCAGTCGGGTTCCCGTCTTGTGTTCCTTTCTGTGCAATGAAGCCATGTAATACATCTAATCGATCCAGGTTTTGAATAAGATGCATTGAAACTGGCGTGATGGGACAGGAGAGCTCATCTGTTGGTCACTGGGATGCTGGGGCCGGGTCAGGAGGTCAGACCCTGAGTCCTTCTCCATCAGTGGGGCATTTGGCTCGGCGTAGAGGCAGCTGCCGCCCCTCTGGAGGACTCGCTGAGCTCTTTGCAGTTCAGGTAACGGCCACTTTGAGTTGGCAGCTGCTGCCTTCCGTCAGGGAGCAGGGCCAGAGGGAAGGGAGCGGGACAGGGAACATACTCAGCATGTATAAGGAGGACGCAGAAGCTCTGAATCTTTTAATATTAGCAGTTTAACGGCAAACAGGTTCTGCTGGATTTACATCCCACGATTGAACCTGTCAGTCCGGCCACTGATTATTGACACAAAAGGCCTCACGTCAGAGTCGACACAGGTCACTGTGAAGCTGGAAAACAGTCTGTTATAACCAGCAGGCATTGGGCTGCGGCCGCAACCTCCTAGTTAAAGGCGACAGACAGGTTTCTCCAGTTTTGGTTCTGAGTCCTCGACCACATTTGAGAACATTGCGTTAAAAAAGTACGCAGTTTAGAAGCATCATCAAAGGTCTCTTTTATTAAAATAGTTTCTTGTGTGAATCCTTAATCCAGGTGGGATTAATCAATTAGCTCAAACATTTGAGACAAAAAACAGGCCACAGGGCAGATGTAGGCCTCTAAAAAAGACTGAACTCTCATTTTAAAGTCTTTTATAGAATTCCTCAGACATCTGCATGGGAAACCACTTTACGAAATCCAGCTAAACACACACTCTGATCTGTAAATGCACATACATCTAGTGTCTGCCCCCCCTCACCAGCTGTCAAAGTCATCTGATGTCAGCCTCAGATTAACTATGTCTGTTAATATTGAGAAGAGGCTGAGTTAAAAACAAAGCCCACAGTGAACTCTGGACCCTCTTGGCTGGTTTCCAGCTCTTGAGCTTCAGGAATGAGATCAGATCCGTGGTCCATCAGACCGTCTGACCAGAAGGAGGCTGGAAAGGCTGGAAAAGCTGAAACATCAGCAGCTTTCCACACAAAGCTGCAGCAGCAGAACCAAGAAGCTGCTCCAACATCCAGTTTGACAACAGTTTTCCCCCAAGAGCTCCAAAGAGCCAAACTTTGGGGGAACCTCTGTGTTCACAGTGGCTTCTGGATGGGGAATCAGTCTGGGACAAAATGGGAATAGTTTGAACCCAGAAGCTGGAAACAGGATGCAGAGCATAGCCTCAGATATCCTCATGAAGCTCTTTATCACCGAACAGCGTCTAAATGTGTTGGGAGAAGGAGCTGGGACATTAAAAACAGGAGAAAACTTCCCTTTCCCAACATTGTTCATCACAAAGTTCACGTCTTGGATTTGAAAGTAAAAACTATCAACAAATTAAATTAAGCTGAAGAGAAGAAATCATGTTGAGCTCAAAATGAGGTCTGAATCACCTTAAAAATATTTTTTTTTCCTATTTTGAATCTGTTGTAACTTTTTTAGAATACATCCATAACTATTTCTATGGTTAACTTTAAGTCATTGTATAACCTTTACACTCCGGTGGCCTTTTACTTCCAGTTATTTTGAGCTTCTGAGCTTAAGCTTCATGGAAAACTGTGTGAAAGCCCTGAAAGATGCCGGAGCATCGGGACGCTGTTCTTGAGAAGCTTTCCTGAACCAGAAGGAGCTATTCAGCCTCCAAAAGGCGGGGCAGGAACCAGGGTGGATTCTCAAACGCACTGACCTGTTTTTCCAGGAGGGCGGAGGTGAATACTTCACGCTCGCCACTCAGCTCGCCATATCAGGACGGGGAAACCTTTGCTCTCACGATTCAGATAAGACGCAGCTCTGAGGATTTTTTTTCAACCTGGAACAGAAAACCAGCATCGGTCCTGAGATGTGAAACTTTGTCATCTGAGACATTGCTTTCAATTATTCTTCTGCATAATTAATGACCACAAAGCAAAAAGATGATTACTTAAGCAGTTTTGATATGTCAAAATCAACTTTGAAACTTTTTTTTTGTGGTGTATAAAATAAAACTTTATCCCCAAAACTTCCTGTGTTTCATATCTGATACACACAGTTTCTGAAATGAAACTTTTTTTAACCTTTAATGGTAAAAACTTAGCTCCAAACCCTGTTCAGTCAGATAAACCTGATAACAGCAGACCGAAGACGACATATCATGAAATATCATTATTCGTTCCACATTGGAGTACAATACCCCCCCCCAAAGAAAAAGTGGCAACAACACCAACTTTAATCAATATTGAGACAATTTATTGATTGATGTGGGATTTTGTTCAGTAAAAGGCTGAGATTTATTCAATTATTTGTCCTGGATCCAACACTTCTCTCACAGCACGCGCCCGACTGCAGAGAGGAGTCCGCCTCTCCGGTATGATGAGAGATGGGAGCGAGGCGCGACAGCTGTGCTCTTATTTCAGGCTCCAAAGAGAGGGGGAAGTGTTTCGGAGTGAGAAAGAGGAGAATGTGATTCAACAGGCCGCCCGAGATGCGGCCCGTCGGCGGTGAGTCATCGCACAGCAGTCGCCATGGCAACGGGAGGCCAGCCGTCGTCTGGTGGTGGATGGATAAACATGTTATTTTATAACTTCTAAAACCACCGACGCCTCGGCTGTCTGGTCATCGACAGCAAAGGTTCTGGATTAAAAATGAATCCATCCACCCATTTTCTGTACCGCTTATTTTTCCATCTGGGTCACGGGGGGGCTGGGCCTATTTCAGCTGATGGGCAAGAGGCAGGTCCAGCCTGGACAGGTCAGCACACAGAGACATGCAACCACACTCACATTCATCCCTAGGAGCTAGTTGGAGTGTCCAGCTAATCTAACATGCATGTTTTTGGACAGTGGGAGGAAGCCAGAGAACTCCTAGACACATGGAGAACACATAGAAAACATACAAACTCCACCAAGTATAAAATATTTAAAACATCATCACACATTTAACCAAAACACCAGGAATAAAACTGCTAATGTCCACTCCCCCTGAGCTGGTTTATACATCAGACCTATTTGAGAGGAGGTTTAAATTGTCATGAAAAATGATAATTAATCAAACACAATGTGAAGTCAGTAAGCGACACAGTCTAGATGTTTAGAGAATTCCCCAAATGAAAACATTATTTAAAATTTTTTCATATTAGTATCTGAGCAAATGAGTGGAGATTGGAAAACAAAACATTTTCCAGGCATGAACTGTCTTTTCTTTCTTCAGCCAGTTTTAAGAAAATCATGACTGAATATCTGAGTGGGTGTAGAGAGACAAAAAAGGAGAGATTCTGATCACTGCCAGCCTTCAGAAAGCTGCCCGTCGTTGGTATTCATGTGCACACAGGCAGTCGCATGCATGTCAATCTGAACTGCTTTGTCAGCACACTGTATGCAAATACAGGGACAGTTCATGCAAATAAAGCACATTTGCAGAACACAGACCCACATCTCCTGTCCGCTGCCCCCCCCCCGAGCTCAACACTTGCGAATGCACAGCATCACACTTACAAAGTAATCTGGACTGGTTTCACATTGTAGGTGTTTGGGAGGGAAGAGTTGGTGCATAAACAACATAGACGATTGCCTTCTGGAGTCTTTCCGTCACCTTGTGGCTCAGAAAAAAAAACAACCAGACCCCCTCTGAGAGCTGCTTCTTTCAATGTTCCTGCTGTTTACTCTCAACCAAATGCTTGGGCTGATCTGCAACGTCTGTTGAGATACTCAAACACAAAAGGGAGATAAGCGTTATTGACTCTTTCTCTCCATTAGTAAACATGTTCTTCCTTAAATAATTGTATTTGAATTATATCCCATGTGTACTCATATGAAATTAAGAGTTATCAGTGTTTTTCTGTGTGTACATTTTCCATCAGTGTTCACTATTCAACAGCTTGTGATGTGATATACAAAAGCACACAATTGTAAATACATAGATAAATTAGTATATCATATTCACAATTTTTTTGCACAACTTGGACCACTTTTCATCTCTACTGGAAATTTTTTTAGCGTTTATATTGGTTTTTTTTTAAAATAACGTATTTTCTAATCAATTTTCTGATGTCATTTTTTTTGTAAGTGCTGAGCAGTCTTAAAAGCCTTTCACTGTTATAACATGTCAATGTGACAAATAGTCCTGATGTGACTTTAAATGCTATAAAAGTAAGTTGTACATGTAGGATGAATAAAATAAAAAACATAAATAACAAATGTGATATTAAAGTGAAATAGTAAAGGGTTTAATTTAAAGAAGTCTGTTTTTTGTTTTTGTTGATAAAGTTTCTCTACACGTCTGACGGAACAATTTAATCGGTACACAGTGCTGACAGAAATTAGCATGTTGCTAGGTGTGTATGTTTTTTAAAGAATTATGTTTCGGCCAAAAAACATCGAAGTCTTTGCCATACATCTTAGTTTCGGGGTCTCATCAGACACATGACAAAAAAAACTTTAACCCAGTTCATTAGAAAGCAGCTCGTTTGTTAGTCGTGTATTTAAACATTATAAAAGCTCGCTAGCTAACAAAGTACCGTATTTCTCCGGCTTTGTCATAAATAGTTAGGGAAAAAAATAAAATATGGAATTTCGTCAGCTTATCTAAGATAATGGTCATGAAATTCATGGCGACTGAAAAGTATTGCAAAATAACACTCGGCAAGTGACGTTTGAATAACATTGCGCAGGGAGACGATAGTTCCCGGTACACCACACCGCTTCCGTCACCGGTGATTTAATGAACATCCGGGTCATCTTATCCAAGTCTGATGCAAGTTCTAGTGGAGAGCAGCAACAGTCGTTACACCCATAAAAAACACAAGCAAGACAAAGTCAATACAGAGAACAGGCACAAAGAAGGCAATTAAATACATTTATTTACCATAGTTTTACAAATTTGCTCATCTCGTTTAAAACAAACAACTTTAAATAAATGTGAGGTTTCCCTTAAAGAAGAAATTTTGCTTCAGTGGCTCCTTTCCTTAACTATAATATTAATTAGTATATCTTTTTGGTGTACACTGACTTGATTTCCATTGCAAACATAAAATATAACTAATTTACTTAATAATCGAGGGAGTTATATAATCATACTTTCAAGACTTTTATTAGAATCTGTCTATTTTAACACTTTTCAGGTTATGGACAACTGAAGAGAAAAGGAACAAGAATGGCTGACAGATATATTTTCTTGTGCCATCTAGTGGATGTAGTGATAAACTGCCTCCACCCAAACAGCCAGTGTCTTAGTTTCTGTGTGGGGCCTAGATTGAAATCAAGCTAAAATGATAATTCATTGAAGTGCTTTCAAACACACACAGGACCTTCTGTCTGTCCACAGATTAACAACATCTGCAGGCGGAAAACATCACAAGCATCACAAGCCATTAATGTGCTGCTTTGTGACAGTTATTACAAACATCTGATACTTCCTCCCTCAGGTTTCTGATATTTTGCTGTTTAAGGCAAAAATATACACTTTTACATCATAAGATCCAAACAAAAATCTGCCTGTTCTTTAATTTAGAATTAAAGGACAGACAAAGAATGCCTCAAAGGATGCTGGTCTCCAGGTCTTTTTTTCCATAATCAAATTGCACAATTGCACAATGTCAGACATCGTAAAAGCACAGAGAAGGCAAATAAATGGTTACATCTATCTATAAAATGTTTTTAAGGAGACAAAGCATTTTACTAACTGGCAGAGATGGTGATGTCTTTCCTACATAACAATAATAATAAAAAAAACAGTCCCTGTTGAGGTTACAGAAATAAACAAAGGCAGCAGACTGATGGTAAAATGAGATCATACATAAAAAATAAAATAAAAATCTCACAATTCTACTCAAAAGAAAATGATTTAGAAAGAAGAAAAACGGACTGTTTCACAGGTTAGTGGCAGATTTAAGGCATTTGGTGTGTTTATCCTGGTGAATATGTAGCTTCTCTTGGTCCCTGTGGACATGCTGAACATGTGTAAACGAAAAACACCTCTAACACTCTGAAGTCCTTATGTTCGTTATTTAACAGTCAGTTAATGCCAAAGCTTTTTAAAAAATGCTTTAAATCGTCTGAAAAAGTGGAAATTGAGATAAAATCAAAGGCAAAATACTTGTTTTGGTCTCACCTGACAGAGAAAAGTCAGCCCAGCGAGGCCTCTTTTGTGTTCACAGCTCAGAAAATACCAAAACAAAAAAAACAAAAATGTTGTCAACATCATACTCAAGATTAACACTGAAATCTGATATCAGCACTAAATGACACAGAGACCAGCTCAATTTGTGACCAAATCAACGCAAAAAGGTCTTTGCTGACTGAAGAGTTTCGATAAATAACTCATTCTGTGTTAGATCGGATATCTCCAGTGCAACAAATCCAGACAAAATTTCGATACACAGGTCTTTCTTCAACATTTAGGTGTGCAAAGAAGTCACTGCTCTCTGAATAAATTAAATAAAGATCCAAACTGATGGACCAGTTTGTTTAAAAAGCCTTTTATATGATGGATTTCCTGTCACTTCTCAGATGAATTTGACCTTTTTCCATCATCGGTCAGACACCATAAAGATCCCACACATTTTAGTCTTGTTTACCATCTTTCCACCTATTTTCTTTACCTTTTCAATCCGGCTCACGTTTGTGTGCATCTGGTGTAAATTTAGAAAAACGAGTGAAGCTCAAATGCAGGTTTTTGGAGCTCAGACTGGTCAAACCTCATGTATTCATTTGGCTTTTTGGGGGGGTTGAACAGAGCAATTCTCACAGGTTTTAATGGAAATATCATTTTTGTGACAATAAGTGAACTTCCTGAACTTCCTGATTGTTAAAAGCAATGAATGAAAGCAGCATGAGATGAAAACTATATAAAAAGAAAACTAACATGGATGTCCCACTTTTTTTTTTTGGGTGGATCTTTTTTTTACTTTAGTCCTCAAAAGGACTGAAAGCTTTGAGCTTTGCTCCGAGGCCCAGAAACAGCGTTTTACCCATCAAACAGCAGCATGATTCAACCCTAAATATGACACTTCAGAGTAAAAAACTGCGTTTGGATTCAAAAGAACTTTAAAAAGTTATTTTCCTGAATTTTGGTCGAAAACCATTCGGATAAAAACTGCTCCAAACAGCAAACACAGTGGAGGTAAATCATTGCAGCATCTGGAGCTACCACAGCCTCTCTGGTCCAGAGGTCAACGGGGCTTTCGGCTCAGGCTTTTTTCTCTTTGACCCTCAGGGGGAAGCAGCTCTGCCCCACATGGCCCCTTCACCTTAAACTGTCTGTGGCTGTGGCGTCCTCGGCTGAGCGTCTGGAGCCGCCGCCCTGCTTCTCAGGGGGAGCTCCGTCCTCCTCACTGACCGCCCACGCCTGGATCTCGCCGCTGCCAAAAATGGTGTAAAAGACGGCGCCGCCGAGGTTGATGGCGGCAGCGACCCAGAACACCTTCCTCCAGCCCGACAGGGTGCGCTGCGCACCACAGAAGAAGAGTGAGCGTCACTTTCTGGACCCATTTTTTGTTTAAAACAGGTGAATCTATTCAGCATGTGTTTGGAGGACCCATCTCACCCAGGTCAGATCTCGGCTCAGGTCCCGATTCAGGCCCATTAGGACCAAAACCACCAGGCACTTGAACAGTCCCCCCCCCCCAGGCCTCTTCCCTCTTACATGACAACTCAGCCCCCCCAGCCCCACTTCCACAGACACTTAAAGAACATATTTATTCCTGCTATCCTGTGTTTACTTCTGGTCGATAAACTACCATTCCTGTGCATGTCGCTGCTCAGTTGTACATATTGTACTCACTTATTATTATACTTTTTTTGTTATTTCAAGCGATGGGATAAAGCAAAAGATGGAATTCCTTTGTATGTTGTACATTTGGCCAATAAAATAAATTTTCATTCTGAAAACAATTTTAAGACGAGTGAGGGCCAAAACAATGCAATTCCCACTCAAACTGGGAAAACTCTGAACCTTTGCTGACATTTTGAGATGTTTATGTTCATCTTTCAACCAAAAAAATGCCTCAGACTGAACACCGAAGCTAGAAAATACATTTCAGATGCACTGAAACACAGTGAAACTTTATCTACGGAATAAACAAAAGAGAACTCACGTCCTCGGTGAAGTATCCCGTCACGATGGGCGCCACCACGCCGGGGATGGTGGCAAACGTGTTGGTGACTCCCAGCAGGAATCCTGCGTACCTGCCCGAGAGCCAGCAGACACAGAGCTCAGCCTCCAGCTGAAACCCCCCCACACCACCACATTCCCAGGACAGAGCAGAACTGAGCACGGCTCAGCCTCATCTTATGCTGCATTCACTGCACCGCAAAATAAATAGGCTTTTTGCTCTGAGTTTTGAATTTTCTCTGTGGAGAAAATCATCAGCAGAATTGTAACTCTTTCAATCTATCATTATTATTATTATTAGTAGTACTATTAGTAGTATGCTAATAATTATTATTCTAACAACAATAATAATATTAATTATTATTGTTATTATTCATTTTTCATTTATTAAAAGGCATTGTTTACTTATTTTTGTATATTTTTCTAATATTTCGCCTATTTATTGTTTTTTTTATGCATTTAGTTCTCTGTAGGAGACTTTTGTTACTTATATATTTTTTTGAATTAATCTTTGTATAGACCAAAGATGGATGTATTTATGGTACTCCGTCTGCTTCACAATAAAAATATAAAGATAAAAAAGGCTTTTAAACAGCCCTCTGGTCGGGTTCTGATTACAGACCACCAGGAAAACTACTGGCTGCTCTTTGACCTCATGGGAGGTAGAAAAGTGGCCGACCCGCCCGGGGCTGCGCTCACCGGGGGGCGATGTCCATCTGGTTGATGAAGACCCCGGGGGAGCTGGTGGCCCCCAGGGTGGAGGAGAGCGTGAGGAAGGTGACGGTGAGGAGGTGGTCGCAACCGGCGTAGCCGACGGCCGTCAGAAAAACAGCCGGCAGCAGCAGCCCTGCGGAGCCAGAGCAGAGTGTCAGGATCAGACCCAAAACTGGGGGGGGGGGGGCTCTCAGAGAGGGTTCCTCACCCGTGAAAGTGAACAGCTTCCGGACAACGGTGATGCTGAAGACTTTCCTCTCGATGATGAAATCCGCGAAGAGGCCCGACAGCACCGACACCAGAGAGCTGCCGAGGTAGGGCAGCGCCGACAGGAAGCCGTTCTGCAGCACAGACGGTCAGAAAGTGATCGAGAAGTCCTCCCTTCTTTATGAGAAGCATCAACTTGAAACCTGTTCCTGCAGCTGGTGTGTCCTGACTGTGTGTTTCCTCCTATGTGGGTCTGAAAAGCCTATTTTTTTTATAATCCTAAAAATGGCCCAGACCATCCCTGTCAACTTAGCAAAGTGAATGAATTCTAAGTATAGTCTCCGTAATGCAGTGGCTTTAAAAAAAAGTTTCATGATTTTACAGGATTGAAGGGGAAATGAAGAAAAGTCTCACCGACTGCAGGTCAAAGTGCAGGATGTCGTTCATGTACGTGGGCAGGGAGGTGAGCAGGCAGTAGAAGGCCCAGTTGGAGCACATCTGGGTGATGATGATGGCCCACAGAGGGACAGAGAACAACATGGACAGCAGGGGCAGGGACCAGCCGTGACCTGTGCCCTGAAAGGTCACAACAGCTCAAGTATGGACGCTCGTTTCGCCAAAAACAGAGTTTTGCATTCAATTGACCCTCCTGCTCTTTCTGTTTGTGCAGCTGATACGTCCGAACTGTATTTTTCTGCCTTTTTGGGGGTGAAAATGAGCTGGATGCTTCCTGCTCTGCGGCTTAAACTCTGACAGAAACCCGTCTGAAATGAGCTCTGTTCCAGCATCCAGAAATTAATGGAAAAAGGACACAAAAGCACATAAAATAACCAAAAAGGGACAAAATCATACCAGAAATAAACAAAAATAATCACAAAATAGAGAAAGAGAAAAGCCCACAAGTGATGCCCAACTATCATAACAAAAACAATAAATCCACATCGAAACACACAAAAACAACATCAAAGAGGCACAAAAAACAATAAATTAATCCACAAAAGCCACAAAAAGAAAAAAAGACACCAGAAAGACGCTGAAAGTTTTAAACTTTAACGCCTACCTGAGCTCCAATGGAGTTGATGATGTAATCTCTCTCCTCATTGCTGATTCGCCGATGAGTGCGAGGGTCATCGGACACGAAGGCGAACCAGAAGACTGCCCAGAGGCAGCCGGCGCCCCCTGCAGGCAGAGAGGCTTTAGGGCAGGACGGGGAAAAGGGGGGGGGCTCTGCTCTCTTCTTCTGTGGTCGTTTGTGTGTCTGGCTCACCACAGAGGTAGAAGACAGCCGGCCAGCCCAGCCACTCGCACAGGAAGCTGGTCAGCGGAAGGGCCAGAAAGGCCCCGAAACTGGCCCCTGACCCCGACAGGGTTATCAGGCTGGAGCGCTCCATCTGGGGGGCCCACCGGGCCCACATGGCCATCATGGCCGGGAAGGTGACGCCCTGCACAGACGCCGTGTTAAAGGTCACTTTACTGTCCGAAAATCCACACAAATCCCATCCTACAACATGCAATAATGACAGTTTTTATCTTGAAATGTGCAATATTTACAGTTATTATCATGAAATGAGCTGTATTTACAGTTTTTAGTCCAACAAATGTGCAATACTTAAAGTTTCTTACCTTAAAAATTTGCAATATTAACAGTTTTTATCATACAAATGTGCAATATTTACAGTTTCTTAACCTAGAAATTTGCAACACTTACAGTTTTTATCCTACAATATGCAATATTTACAGTTTTTAATCTTAAAATATGCAATATTTACTGTTTTCATCTTGAGATGTGCTGTATTTACAGTTGTTAATCCTCCAAATGTGCAATATTTTAAGTTTCTTACACTCAAAATTTGCAATATTTACAGTTTATACCCCACAATGTGCAATATTTGCACACATATATTTAGCTGTTTATGTATTTCTGTAATGCACACACACCCAGGACTCTGCACCTTGCCTCCTAATGTTTATACTGTTTTTGCTAATTGATGTTCTGGTGTCCCTGCCCTGTTTGCAGTCGGCTTTAATCCCGTTGTACATGTGTACGATGACAATAAAAGGCCTTCATATAGTTTTTTTTTACCTCTCCAAAGCCCTCCAGCGCCCGCAGAGCAAACAGCCAGTACGGCCCCCAGCTGGCAGCCAGCGGGGTGAGAAGCGTGAGGGCGGCCGTGCCCAGCACGCCCAGGCCCAGGAAGTTTTTCCCCCCATAGTGGCCGGCCAGGTACCCGCCTGGGATCTGCGTGCACAGGTAGCCGAAGAAGAAGGCTCCCAGCAGCCAGCCCTGAATCTCCGAGTCCCAGTTGAACTGAGGGATCTGCAGGGGTGAGAAGGGGGGGGGGCAGAGTGAGGAAAACCCAGGAAAACATACATGAACCGCTTTGTGGGTCTTACCCCCTCTGGCTGCTGGAACGTCCCACTGCTGTTCCCGGTCCCTGAAGGCAGCGGGCAGGCGTGCACCAGAGAGCTGTTCTGGTCGGCTTTGGGGTCGGTGGCGTTCACCATGGCAACCATGGCCACACTGAGGTTCACCCGCAGGCCGTAGACCACCGAGAACCCCAGGAACATGAGGACGGCCAGATTAAGGCGAGCCGAGCAGCACCGAGGAGGAACTGGACCAACAGAGGAGGGAGGAGGATCAACAGGAGGCCCAGAGTCTGTGAGACCATTTCCACTCAAACCGAACCCAAAGGCTCGGATTTAATTTAACAATCAGCCAAAAAAGGTCTTAGAATAAACAGTGAAGTTAAAAAGGCTTAAAAGGATAAAGCCTTTGACGTTAAATTCCCCAATGAGACATGAAACCATCACAAAGATGCAAAAAAAAAATTACCCAAAGAGAAAAATGACAACAGAAACACATTAAATACTCACAAGATGACCACGAAAAGACACCAAACCACATTAAATATACACAAAACCAAAAAAAGACACTAAACACATTATATACACACAAAACTACAAAAAGACACTAAACCACACACAAAACAAATCTCAGCACAAAAACGAAAAAAATCTGCTTTCAACTGGAAAAAAAAAACAACCAAAAGAAGACAAACTGTTACTGATGGGAATATAGCCAATCAGCAAAAAAAAAAGGCAGCAGAGGATTTTTCGTTGCACGAATTTGATGATGGATGCAAATTTTAATCAGCTGGAGCAGCAGATTTGACTTCTCTGTTTGTTTTTTGCATTAATCCTGATTACTTTTGAACTGTTATCCAATTCAAGGGGGATGAATGAATGAATGAATGAATGAATGAATGAATGAATGAATGGTTATCAGACTGGTTTCATCCGCAGAGGGTTGAAGGGAGGAGCGGTTCACCTTCGCGGCTCTCGATGAGCCGCTCGCCATCCTCGCAGGCGTCCGACGGGGCCGCGTTGATGGAGAAGCCGTTTGGAGACGGCATGGTGCTGCGTTCCCTCTCTGAGCTCGTCAGTGAGCCATGGCGGCCGGGACTTCTGCAGAGGGGACGAAACACCGGAGAAAAAAGGAGGTTTCAGACAGTGACAGACACTCGTGTCACAGAGCAGAACTCTGAGCTGCCTGCGCTTCTTTGGGGCCAATTTCCACTTTACATTGGACAAAAAATAGTTTTGAACTTATGGAGACTGATGATTCAAAGGAAGCAAATTCAGACTTTGTGATGGATGAAGGCTAAAGAGCTGAATCAAAAAGCAAATAAACACAGCATGTAATGAACTTATTTCCAGCCCAAAAGGGCAAAGGGCAATGGGAAACTCTGACTGAGAGGAAGGTGAAAACCCCCAAAAAACAATCTGATAAAGACATGATGGTTCCTCATGTTTGTGATTTCCAGATTAACTGGAAGAGTGATAGTTCCAAAGGAGGAAGTCAGCAGCCTGAAACTCTGATCTAATCATGACACAGCCATTCATGAGCCTGTGTGAATCTGTGGAAACACAAGGTGCTACTTCCAGGGAGGAAAATTTCAGAAACTTTATCCTGTCTGAGAGAACACATAAAAAAATGAGCCATTGATACAAACTACAGTCCAAAGAATCTGGAGTTCCTGCTGGTTTTCCTCTAGAGTCAGCTCAGTCAACTGAGTCAACCCTAATTTAAAACCGATTTTATATTCAATCCAATTGAATCTTTGCTTTTAATGAGCAGTCATTTAAGCAGAAAAAGGCCCCTAACTCAAGGGCTGAGCCGGCGTTGTGTCCAATCAGCAGAGCAGCAGTTTAAAGTGGATCTTTAGGCTCTTCGTTAGCAGCAGCCTGTCACAGAAACACATCAAATTTCTCTTTAAGCCCTTCAGAAATGGACCAACTCTGTTCAGCTGGTCCCCTTTTTCCCGGAAACGAGATGTCCTGCACATCTGTCCAGCTCCCTCTAACAGATGTGCTCTATTGGCTTTTCCATGTGACTACAGCAGGTCTGTGCACGTACAAGCGAAATCCGTCATGAGATGCTCAGATCTCATCTCCAGAGAACAATCACTGTATTATCAAGCTGCCCGTTTCTGCTCCTGCGGCTTTTGATTCCTGGGTGGACTGAAGGTGAAAAAACTACATTTTGAGGAAGTGGTAAAACGGCCTGAAAAAAATGATCAGTTAAAGGCTTAAAATCATCTAAATGAAAATGTGTGTGGGCTGTATTTTATGGGAGACGCTGGTGCCCCTGAGGGACTAAATCTGAAGCTTTTTAAGCTATCTGGTAAAAACAAAGGATGAAAAACACAATGACATGAAACTAATAAAAGGAATTATTACGGCTGCATGGTTTGTGACTGGACTGAATTGGTAGATAAATAAAAAACAAACAAACAAAAACGTCTAATTCAATAACAAATCTCCCACAGAAGTCAGTGGAGCCGCTCTGAAGATGGGACTATGTGTCAACACCCTAAATGTTAACAATATGTTACTTATTCATAACAGCAGATATAAATATTACAAAAATGGGACTTACCTTTAAAACTATTTAAAACAAGAAACCTCATGAAGTGACAGAGGTTTAAGGCGCCTGAAGCTTCAGCCGGCAAGCCAACACAAATGCTGCAGTTGTTGTTTAACTCTGGAGTCACATGAGCAGCGCTGTTTGCTGACACCAGGAAGAAATCTCAATCTCTAAGTGCTCGGAGTGGCTCCGACCAGTTCTAAAGGAGCCACCGAGTGCGTTGCGCATTGTTTACAAGTCGACGTCGCGTCTGTGACGTCAAACAAGCGACCGACTGTCAGTTCCGCCTTCTTTCATGGACAGTTGTGAAAGATCAGTTCCAGCACGAATTGCGGAAAAAATGTTTATTCAAATGTAAACAGTCATAAACTATGCAGATAGGTTCCAAAACAGTGTTAGGTGTATTTTTCTGCCTTTGGCTGCAAAGAAATTTAAAAAACGCTCCAGTTTACCACTGAAGCTGACAGGAAATCAATACGTTTTTAGTTTTTTTTTCATGTATGAATACGTTATAAGTCTATACTATTGTATATAACAGCGTACACCAAATATGATGTTCCAGTAGAGAATTTGGATTTTTTCATTTTAAACTTCATTTTATTAATTCTTCATTAAAGCCTAGCAACAACACGGCTTTTCTCTCATTGTGGTTGAGCAATTTAAATAAAAAATAAAAATAGTGAAAATGATGCCTACATTAATAATATTCGTTTTAATTATTTGTTCTTCTTCTTGTGGCGGTTTGGGGCAGAGCTTCACTTCCGCATTCACACGTTGTCGTAGCAACAGCACAGCTGTTTGTGGACGCAAAAGCAGCTGCTGACAAACACGTTAGCGTCGGTCTAACGGCTTTAAAGTACCTTGCTGTCATCGCATTAATGGCCGCTTACCGAGTAAGTGTATTCCTGTGAAACTTTTGTATGTTTATACATGAAATCCTTTAACTTTCTGCTCGTGCTTAGGTAGCCTGTGCTCGCTAGCTAGCGTCATATGCATCCTGTTTGGCAGTGAACGCACCATGTGTCCTGTCAGATTGCTCATTTTGAACTGTTCGATATGGTCTTCTTCTTTCATTATATTTAGGTGTGTCAACGAAGGTTGAATCGAGTGCTGTTAACTCGTGTTTGCCCTTTTTCTAGGCCCCCGAATCAAAACGGGAGCAGTTTAGAAGATACCTGGAGAAATCCGGTGTTCTGGACACTTTAACGAGCGGTGGGTGCACAGGGGTTCACCCGGTTAACGCGTGTTTCCCGCCGTGTGGGTTCATCAACGTCTCTCTTTTGCAGTCTTGGTGGCGCTATATGAGGAGCCTGACAAACCCAACAATGCACTCGAGTATCCTTCAGTTGTTTCTACGCATTTTTCAGACGTTTCACTGGACCTTCAAATCACCTGCCTACGTCATTAGTTTTTACTCTTCCACCAAACAGCCTCACTTACGACTATTTTCTAATTAATTGTGCCTGGGATATACAATTAGGATGGATATTAAACTGATGGGACAAAATTTGACATAAACTGGAGTCCTGTCATTTGAAATTAGATTAAGGCAAACTTAAAAATCCTCACTAATTCTCCCCAAAGCGTCAGTTAAAAAGCAGCAAAGTGTGGAGGAACCATCACAGGAAGCAGGACGATGGTCATAAACTTGCCGAGTGCCCCCCCTTAACCAGCATCCCAGCTTCATAAAGCTCTACCTGGGGGCGGCGGAGCCGGTGGACACCGAACCGCTGCGTCAGGAGCTGGCCGACCTGCAGGAGAAGTGCAGCCTGCTGATGGAGGAGAACCAGGAGCTGAAGAGCCGGGTGAGCCATGGGGGAGCGGGGGGGCCGTGCGTGTCCTCCCGGGGCCTCTAACCTCTTGTGTCCTCCCCCCTCACAGCTGATGCAGTACGAGTCCAAGTCCGAGGATGCGCCCACCATCTGAAGGCTCCCACCTCTCCTTTTCTTTCTTTTCTTTTTTTTTTGGGGTGGAGAAAAAACCAAAAGCAAATAAAACCCGCTGCACACTGGCCTTAGTTTGTACAGGATGTAAATGTTTATTGCTTAATCAACAACATTGCTGGTTCTTTGTTTTGTAATAAACAACTTTTGCTCATGAATGTTTGTGTTGGACGTCTGACTGCAGGAGTCTTGATCTACCTGGAAGCGTTTACAGGAAAAGAGCAAATCCAGAATCTAAGGCAGAAACAGAGGAGCTTAAAGTCCTTTATTTTATCCCATCTGTACAGATTTAAAAGTGACAGCCCTCTCATTTTGCACACCCCTACAAACTTTTGCTTTTTCCCCCAAAACGAGAAGCAGACACACTGTCTTGTTTTTGTTTAAATAAAAACAAACATTCCTTAAATAACTTTTTTTTACCAAAGGCATTAGACTTTTAGTCCCATCAGGACACAGAGCAGAGCTCTCGATGCGGCTGCTTTCAGCCTTGAACTGAACAGGAGACGTTCAGCTGGAGGTCCAGATGCAGCTCTCAGCTCCGCTTTCAGATCCTCTTCATCTGCTGGATTAGAGAGTTTTTTAGGCCCAGGTCTTCTTTTTCTGTCCTCCACTGGTCCAGTTTCATCAAATGTTTTAAGGACTCTCTGCTCACCAGCTGAGATCTGCCCAGTTTTCAGCCAGCAGCTCTTTGGGAATCCTCAGAAATCCTGTTTCCTGTCTGTCAGACTGTGAACTGGAACAAATAAAGTGTCTCTGTGACAGGCTGCTGCTGACAAAGAGCCTAAAGACCCACTTTAAACTGCAGCTCTGCTGCATGGACACAGCGCTGGCTCATCCCTTGAGTTAGGGGCCTTTAAAAATTAACATTCCTCTGAAAACACTCAGCTACAAAGACTGAAAATGAGAGAAGCCCAAAAACTCTGAAAGCTGCAGAGCTGTTCAGGAACACTTTAAAGGAAGAAGGACAGAACTTAAGGCCGGTGGACGTTTGACAGGCCCTCAGATATTTTTTCAGGACATCTCGAATAAAATAAAATAAAAATCAACTCCATCACTCAGCATCAAGTAGAAAAACCCTCTCATAAAAAAAATCTAAACTTCACGTTCATGTGATCTCCTCTGTGGATCTTTGGCTGCAGCTTTGGGCTGCTGTGAACTCGGGTGGAAGTGTGGGCCGCCTAAAGTCGATCCATCGATCTGGGACTGAGTTTTCCATTCCTCTCCAATCCATCAGAGGTCAACGTGGGCCTCTGAGTCTGACCCAGAAGTGTGAGAGCAGCCCGCGCCGGGCCCCTCCCCCCCCGGCAGGGCCGAGCCGGGCCAGGCCAGGCCAGGCCAGGCCAGGCCAGGCCGGGCCGGGCCGGGCGCCCTTCGGAGGGGTTCAGGGTCAGGTCCTCAGATCTGTAAGTCGGTGGCGGCGCGCCGGCTGCTGCCGCCGCTGCTGGCGGCCGACGGCCTGCGGTTTGGCGAGGAGGCCAGCGGGCTGTTGCTCTCCCGGCTGTGTCGGGACGCCGAGCTCAGCTCCCCCGCCGAGTCGGGGCTCTCGGGCCGGCCGGGCCTCCGGGGCTCGGGCCTGGACAGCAGCCGGGCCCGCGGCCCGGGGCCTCCTCCGCCGCCACCGCCGCCACGAGGCTTGGCGCCGGCGTAGGAGTCGCCGCTGTCGGAGCAGTTCCCCTCCACCAGCGTGGAGCAGTTCCAGGGCGGGCTGCGCGCCTTGCGGGCGCCGGGCAGCGCGGGGCAGGAGGCGGCGTCGGCCGCCGGCAGCGTGGGGTACTCGGACGCCCGGAGCTCGGGCGCCTTGGCGGGGGGCTCCTCCTCGTCGCGCTTGTCGGCGGGCAGCGAGCGCGTCTCGCTGCTGGTGTTGTTGGAGTTGCTGTTGTGCTCGGTGGGGCTGGGCACGCCCTCCTTGGCGTCCCTCCGGGCGTCGGGCCGGGCCCCCGGCTCGCCCTGGACGGGCAGGAAGGCGGCGTGGGCGGCGGCCAGCGGCGGGTAGCTGGGCCCGTTGCCCTGCTTCTCCAGCAGCAGCGTGTAGCCGCTGGGCGCCGTGGGGATGGTGCTCTTCCGGCCCGCCGCGGCGCCCGGCAAGGCCGGCTGCGCCACCGAGTTCTTCTTGGACTTGCTGAGGTAGTAGTCGTCCAGGTCGTCCTTCAGGTGCGGGTAGTAGTCCAGGATGCCCCTCTTGATCCTCTTGAAGCTCAGGTGCATGATCTCCAGCAGGCTGAGGAAGAGCGAGATGCAGGCGATGGCCTGCATGAACATCATGAAGACGCTCTTCTCGGTGGGCCGCGACACGAAGCAGTCCACCACGTTGGGGCAGGGCTCCCGCTCGCACTGGTACAGCGCGCCCAGCCGGTGGCCGTACAGCAGGAACTGGCCCGTCATGAAGCTGACCTCCACCAGCGAGCGCGTGACGATGTGCGCCACGTAGGTGCCCAGCAGCGAGCCGCGCAGCGGCGCCTTGTTCAGCTTGCCCTGCTCCAGCTGCCGCATCTCCTTCTCGATGCGGCGCCGCACCTCCGCCGGCTCGCCGTCCAGCGCCTCCAGCTCGCGGCGCAGCGCCGCCTTGCGGCAGTGGCGCTCCTTCTCCAGCGCCCGCAGCCGGTAGATGGCGTGGCCCATGTAGACCAGCGAGGGCGAGGACACGAAGATGACCTGCAGCACCCAGAAGCGGATGAGCGAGATGGGGAAGGCCTGGTCGTAGCACACGTTGCGGCAGCCCGGCTGCTCCGTGTTGCACACGAAGTCCGACTGCTCGTCGTTCCACACGTCCTCCGCCGCCACGCCCAGCACCAGCATCCGGAAGATGAAGAGGATGGTCAGCCAGATCTTCCCCACCATGGTGGAGTGGATGTGCACCTCCTCCAGGATCCCCCCCAGGAAGTTCCAGTCCCCCATGCCGGCGGCTCAGCGGCTCCGTCCACAGTGGAGAAGCCTGCATCAGAATGGGGGGGACGTTCAGTAGAGGGAGGAGGTTTCCTCTTTGGGGGCCCCAAAGAGGAAACCAATGCTCCCATGCTCCCCCCTGGTCTCCCCCCCGGCCTCCCATCCTCTCCTCCCCCCTGGCCTCCTTCCCTCTGCTTCCACACATCTGATTTAGGCTGAATAAAGATGGGAAGTTTCCTCAGAAGCCTGCTGGTTCATTTGAGTGTAAAAAGTGGACTGAAGAGGAACTCTGCCCCTGCAGGAAAACCCACGACTCACTGAGGAACCTTTTGATTTGGGGAATTTTATTAGAAACTTGGGTGGAAAAGCCAAATGAACTGACTGACTGGAAGTGGAAGCATTTTAGGACCGTTTGAAGTCCTGCTTTTAGAATATTGGTGTCGTTGTTTCTGTCTGTGACCCGAGCCGCTCCAGAGACCCTAAAAGCAGAAGGCTTTTGGCTCTGAACCAGCAGAGGCCACGGGCTCAGAGGTCAGAGGTCACCGACCGGGACACAGATCCTGAAACCAGAATGGGGGTTCAGAGATGTGTGGACGGCTCCGATTCAGGCGGTTCCAGCTGGTCCTCTGGGCCCAAAAGCCACCTCAAAGGTCCCAGAAAACCAACATGAATCAGATCCAGGACCCCCTAAGAAAGGGGCCCCAGTCAGACTGGATATAAAAACCCTTAAAAAAGGCGAGAGGAGAAGGGCCAGAAAGGTTCTCGAGAGGCCTTTTCAGATGTCCCCATGAAACGAGAAACCATGGAGGACCTCCTGGACACCCACCTGGAGAGGAGGAGCGGGGCGGTTCTGCAGCTGGCGCTCAGGGCGGGGCGCCGTCCATCCCCACTGACCGACGCCTGGTGGACAGACCGACACCTAAAACACAGCAGGACAGAACACCAGTAAAAAACACACAACAGGCTTGGAACATGATTTATCCCATTTTTTATACTCTTTTTGTGGTATTTGATCCAAATTTTGCAACATTCTGTCAGTCGAACTAATTATTCAACATATTATTTTATTGTATTTTACTGTGGAGATAAACAGAAGGGGCAGTTTTCTGCCTCTTAATGCCGTTTGTGGTCAACATGACCTTTAATGGACGCATAGCCAGTTCAAAAGCTGACAAACGTCATCAGGAAACACTGACAACCGCTTTACTCAGCCTTTATTTCTTCGTTAAAACATGCATTTATTTAGTCAGAAACTCAGTTGAGAGTGAATCCTTTCAACCGACAGCAGCCTTTACTCAGATAAAATCAATTTATTCAAGTCCATGCACTGTTAAACTGGGTTTTTAATACCTAATAAGAAAAGTTTTAACAAAGTAAAAGTCCTTTAAAGCTTATTTTTATTCCATTAAAGGACGTCTGACCTCCAACCGATGACATAAAACTCACTGGCTGGAAATCAATAATAAATCAGTGATTCAAACAGCCTCATCAGCCTGTTGGAGCTCACGTGGAGGCAAAAACTCACCTCTGGTCTTCAGCCGGTCCAGCCTGAGCTCTGAACCGGTCTTCCTCCTGAGCCGGTCTGGGTTTGGTCTTCTTTCTGATCTGGTTTGGGACTGGTCTTCCTCCTGAGCTGGTCTGGGTCCGGTCTTCCTCTTGATCTGGTCTGGGACTGGTCTTCTTCCTGAGCTGGCCTGGGACTGGTCTTCCTCCTGGCCTGGTCTTTGTGAGCTGGTCTGGGTCTGGTCTTCCTCCTGAGCTGGTCTGGGACCGGCCTCTGGTCTGACAGCACAAACTGCCGCTGCCCGCTGGCCGGCCGGCCCCTTATAGGCGGCGTGAGCTCAGCGATCGATGGCGCCGCTCCGCTGCCATTTGGCTCGCAGCGCTTTGGGCGGGACGCCGCCGTCATCAGGCCGAAAAGGCCCCGCCGCCCCCCCAGGCTGAACCCAAGAGACCCCGAAACCGAGGAGGAGGCCGCGGCTGACCCGGGCCCCGGGAAGACCTGTGGGACCGGGTCAGGGGCGGAGCCACGTCCTGATGGACCTCGTTCTGATTCGATGCCCAATTGAACCCGTTTGCAAACAAACACAGCGGAAACTCTGCTTATGATGCCTAAACATACGCATTTTCCAACATCCGAAGTGAAATTTGATCAAATATTCGACTCCAAACCCATGTATAATTCCAACATGAAGTCATAGAAAAAAAAAAACTATAACAAGGTAGTTTAAAGTTCACGTAGTCAAAGTTAAAGTTAGATTAGGTCCTGTATGTTAGTCTCTACTTGTTAATAAAACCGCTTTTAGTTTATTATTTCTTTATAATTTACTAGTTTTTACATCTCTCTTATATAATGCATTTTTTGTATTGCTATGTGTAATTGTCTACAGTATTTATTAACGAGTTATCGTAGGTGTTTGGGCTGTGGAACGAATTATATTAATTACAGTGTATTCTGATGGGAATATTTGAACCAAGAAAATTTCAATATACAAAGTAGGTCCTGGAACCAGTTTAAAACGTAAGTAGTAGTTGTGCTTTATCCCCCAAAAGCAGCCAAGGAAAAAAAAAAAAGACCCAAAAATGGCTAAAATCAGAGATCAGTTAATCACTTACAAAAAAAAAGTTTAATGCCAATAAACGATGCATTTAGGTAAAAATGACAGAAACGTGAATCTACACAGAAAATGAGTTTAAGAGATTTAAGGAACTTTTCTCCAGTTTGTGAGGAGAAGCTGCATCCCCCTCCTTCCCCCCTGGCCTCCTATCCCCCCCTCCTCCCCTCTGTTGGGTACACAGATCAATGGCGTGCGTCCCATTTCGCGCTCGGCTGCTTCTCTGCTGGGAACTTTTAATTTCCAGCCGATGTTCCATTAACAGGAAATCGATGGGGCCGCTTGCGGACGGCGCCGCCCTGTTTCCACACCGGCCCGCCTCCGCCCGGCCGCCCGACCCCAAGCACAGCCACACGCCGGTTTCTGATACTGAAGGTTATCGATTTATTACAGAAAACAACAAGCTCTTCCTACTAAAGACGAGAAGAGACCACATGCAGAAACAGGAAGGAGACACAAAGAGGAGACACAGATAAAACCGATGAGCTCCGACCGCGCCAGGCGGCCAGCGCCGGACGCCCCACAGAACGCCCAGCGCCGGACGCCATGCCCGGTGCCCCCCCCCGCCTCCAGGGGGCGCCGGGGCGACAGACGGGGCTAATACTGCACGTTTCTGCTAAGCAGGAAGTAAAATGATCAGTAGAAAAAGGAGGAGACCCAACTGGAAAAACCCAAACCGGGGCGGTTCTGTGGGCTCACATTCACGTCGGGCATCTCTTCTCGGGTCCGTCTGAGGGGGGAGGGGCAGGAAAGGGGGGGGGGCAGTCCTGCTTAGCGGCCTCCAGACTTGCGGCCGGCCCAGGACCGGGACCGGGAGCGCGAGCGGGACCGGGACGCCGAGCGGGAGCGGGACGGCGTGTGCAGCCGCCGGACCTCCTCCTCGGTGAAGTGGGAGGCGGCCGGCGCGTCGCCGGGTTCCCGTGGAGACGCAGACCTGGACCTCTCCCGCTCCTCCCTGCGCGGCCTCGGCCGGAACCTGAGGACACAAAGACCAGATCCAGCTCTGAGCCGCCTTCAGGGACCGCAGGACTAAAAACAGTCCGAAACCAGACGATCTGTGGTTCTACAACAGCCTGGGGCGGTGGTGCGTTCAAAGACAAGCGGGAAACTACAGAAATATCGTCTTGATTAGAACAACCAGGCGATCTAAATGTATCAGGGTTAAAGGGCATGATTTTATTATGTCATTTTTTATTCTAATCATTTTAAAATTTAGATAACTATTGTAGAAGTCCACACGGTCGGTCCACTGTTTTTCATGTGTTACATGAACTGCTAAAGGAACCTTTTTGGACAAGAAGTGGCCGTATTTAAACTCATTTTTCACTCTTTAAGCCCATCTAAACTATTTTTTCCCCTCTCTAAACTCATCGAAACATATTTTTTCTCCTTTAACTCTTCTCTGGACCCTGTCATTACTATTTTTTACTCATTTAAGTTCTTTTTCGACATGTAAAGACAGGAGAAGTTTTGGATCTTTTCTCTGACTCCTTCCACAAAGTCCTTCTCACCTTTCTTCTTCACGGCTTCGGCTTCTTCCTCTTCCGTACACGCGTCCGCGGGATCTGCAGAAACAAACCGGTTACACGCCGTCTCCCGCTCCCAGCCCAGAGCAGCGTGTGTGTGTGTGTGTGTGTGTGTGTGTGTGGGGACCTACTCTCGGGGGCTCTCGGAGCGCCGGCGGCGGCGCTCGTACGACGGGCTGCGGGACCTGTATCTGTCGTAGCTGCGGCTGCGGGAGCGCCGGCGCCGCCCGTCCCGCTCATAGTCGTCGTGCCGGGAGGAGCGGCCCGGAGAGCTGCGCTCCTTCGCCTTCATCTGATTGGGCGCTGGTGAGGGACGCCAAACGTCAGAGGAGACACTGGACTTTGTGGAAGACTCAAAAGCTGCGAGGTGCTTACTCTTCCGGTCGCCCTGAGCGAACTGGATCTCGATCTGCCGGCCACAGACCCACTTCCTGTCCAGGCTGTGGAGGGCGTCCTCGGCATCCCGCACATCCTCAAATGTGCTGAGTGGTTAAGGGTTCAGTTTGCTCTCAGGTGGGGGGGACAGCACACAGTCACAACTGTTCAGGTGGAAAGACTAAAGGGGAAGCTGGGCTCTTAGCAGTGCCCAGCTTCCTTATGGCCTTTTGGCCTTTCTGAGCGCTCGGAAAACACAGAACTGCTCTGACATCAGGGGAAAGCAGGCCAGCTGCTCGTCTGGGGGGGGGGGTCACAAATCAACAAATCAAACAGCAACAACTGATCAAACTGTCTGCACCAAAATGAAAAGCACAGCTGCTTTGGGTGTCGTGTCGGATTCGTTTTGGGAGGATACAAAACACTCAGACTTGTTACCTTTGCCCACGCGCGGCTTTGAACTTCATCTTGATCTTTACACTCTTTAATCGACTCCCAGAGAGACTTGGGTTTCCTGCTTGCTTTTTCCTCTTAAACCTCTTTTCTTTTCCCCATTCTTTGCCGCCATTTCCAAGCTTTGTCTCGGTTCCCTTTTCCTCTTCGTGCTTTACTTTCTCTGTTCAACCTTTTCCCTCCCTCTGATCCTGCAGGTCTGTGTGTGACTGGTCTTTACAGCTACTCTACACGGGTCTTTGTTACTCTTTGTGGCCGGTCCCACAAGTGGATGCTTTTACAATTTCTGAAGCAATAACAGAGAAATATGTGTGTTAGATTTTCAATCAAACTGGGTGAAAGAAGAAGTCAGAACACAAAGCAAAGCACCTGTGCAGAAAGGAAAACAGTGACTCGTTAGCAGGAGACAGTTTGGACTCGCTGGGAAAGGATATTGAATGTATGCAAATCCTCTTGGTCGACGTGTATAGAAGTCAAGTGGGATGTAGACATCTACTATCGGCCCATAGCGGCCAAACTCACGCCGCAAATCCTCAGGCCTGAACACCGTAAATACAAATATGACTCAACGGACCGTCATAGGTACGTCTGCCTACATCATCAGCACGCTAAAGGGACAGTTGGACCCAAAGCAGCTTGTTTTAATGTTTGTTCGATCAGCTCAGACAAACACTGGCTGGTGGTTTTAAAAAGAGAGCAGAGCGTGAGCGGCTAAATGTTCAGATGGATGCTCGGCTTTCTATGAACTGCTCTGTTATAAAGAGAAATCCAAAATGTGCTGCTCAAAGTGATTCATCTGCCAGCAGCTGTGTGTCCTTTCTGTAAGGAGTCCCCAGAAGCAGCTCTGCAGGCTTCTCGAAGGAAGTCCCAAAGCTCTTCTTTGCTTAGTTGGACACAACACTGGCTCATCCCTTGAGTTAGAGGCCATTTTTTTGCCTGAATGATTCAGAGCTCATAGTTTAGTGACTGAACAAAGAAACTACACATTCCTCTGAAAATGCTCAGCTAACAGGACTGAAAATGAGAGAAAAGAGCTTCAGGGAACTATTGCTCAGGACCACATCAGAAGTCTGGATCAGAACTTGTGTACAGAACCAGACAAAACAAAATGTAGACAAAACATTCAGCGTTTTGTGCTGGATGCATGTCGGCTTCCGCTCATATTCAGGGCAGAGCGACAACCCACACTCTGCTGCTCTTTTTTGGGTCAACTGTCCCACTTTTGATAGCCAAAGTCAGACTACTTTAGTATCTACAGAAATGTACAAAAACAGCCTCTCAGGACATAAGAATAAAACATACATGGATTAATGACAGGGCAAAACACACAGAAGCATCAAATACAGTAAACAGACATTTAAGAAAGACCCAGAAAAACACAATACTTTCATTTTCATGTATATAACTCCCTCTTTTATAAATCAAACATTGAATTATTTTTTATGCACATTTGTGAGGTGAGACACTGCTCTTCACAAACCATTACTTTTAATGGGGATTTCAGTCCCAGCTGCCAAATGAAAAGTCAAAAGACTTCTTACAATGTTATATTCAATAATAGGTATAAATGTGTCAAAACGGATGACAGTTTAAGAATCTTGAAAATAATATGGACAGAAAGACCTAACAAAGTGCATCAAACAGTTTTGTTGGAGAAATTACAAGAGTTATGATTTTATGATTTTTATGATTTTTAATGTGCGTTAAATAACAGGGAAGCATAATTATGGCTCTGTTTTTGTTTTGTTTTTTAGATCAATTATAAAAACAACTAGCTATTGTTTGCTGATTAAAAAAATAGCAGTTATATGGTTTTTAATGGGAAGCTCAGAAACGCTAAGTTTCCTTTGTTAATTAGATGGTCATTAAATTGCAATATGCGTTTATAAAGTATTTAACCCATTTTTCTCCGAAAGACTGATCAAAAATATTCCGGTAAAAACATTGTTTGTTAGCCTAAGTTAGCTTTTTACCACTGCTAGCTTATTCACAGTTGTAAAAAAGACACAAAGGACCACTTAAAGGGACGAAAGCAAACACATGAAGGCAGTTTGGGAGGAAAATACATTTTACAGCCATAGCGGATGAGATTCGCCTTTTGTTTTGTTTTTTACAAAAGCGGTAGCATTCACGCGCACGCGTCTTCTTCCGAGGAGGAGGCTAAGGCTAGCTGCTAAGCTAACGCGGACGGATGCCATCAACCTGAGTAGGTCAATGAACTACATGCGGATGTGCAAATAGCTCACCTGGACTCATCGGAGATGTTCCTAACAAACAAAGAAGAGTTTGGAGGCCTCATGTATCTGGACATACAGTTCCAAACGCGTCAGAATAAAATCTTTTCTAAGGTAAACGAGCCTAGAGAGAATGCACAGCGCATGCGCTATTTCAAGGCGCCTTTGCACTCTTCTTCTATTGAAAGAGTGACCAACCGCCACAGCGCCACCTACAGCTTCAACCCCAAACAGCCAGACGAGACCATGAGCGGACAGATAATCTCTTTTATTAGGCATTTGCTTTGAGAAAAAGGCAAAAATAAAAATAAAAAAATCAAATGCCCTTTTCTAGTTTTATCAAAAATTGATTGGCCATTTGTACACTTTGTACACATCTAATCGGTTAATATAAACATGTAATAATTGGCTTTGACGTGGGTAATGGGTCATTGATTAGCTTTTTTTTGTATTTGATATCATTCGCCTCCCACTGAGCGATGCAAAATTCCTTGTCATTTCCATCAGTCATTTCCCTCTGCATCCTTCTCTTTAAAAAAAAAATCCCACACAACCAACACTAAATCTTTATTTTATCACACATTGGATGTAAAGCTTTCCTTCATTTGATGAAAATGTTCACAAAACATACAAAAATATTGCAAACAAAGGCCAAACTCTTTAAGGCAAACGTGCAGGCAGCAGAAGCTTGGGCAGTTCAGGGCTGTGAGGTGCAAACATCAACATTTCACCTCCAGATTAAAGTCCGGAGGCACGTCCAGTTAGTGGGGACATAACTTTGTTCCCATGCCACGGACAAATATCACCCTGTTTACTGAAAACACTGAAGCTCCAACACATTATGGTCACAGTTTAGGCCGAAAACAGGTACATCTTTAAGCAGCTGGCTGTGAAATGATGAGCCTGTCCCTGAGGAAACACTTTGAGGCATGCTTTGCTAGGCTAACGGCGCTAAGTGTCTTCACAGAGCTCGGCCAAACAATGTTTGCAGCTTAATTAGGACTTTTAAGACAGCGCTACATCTTTAAAGAGACGTGTGGTATTTCACACTTTGAGAGAAGCTGGTGCTCTAAGTGATGGTGGTCCTTTTTTGGAGAACTCCCAAGTGGCAACTGAGGGTAAATGCTATGTTAGTCTACAATAATCACACAGAATCCCTCCTGTATGTTCATTTTCAAACAATTTGTGTGCACTAATCACAACATTTACCCTGATACCCTACACACCACAATCCCCTTTCAATAAACACACTTTAAAGATTTTTTGGTCTCTAAAACATTTCTATTTACATATTTATATTGGTAAAGGTTGGGATCACTCTTAAGTGAATCACTTGGTTACAAAGTGAAAGTATAAATAAATTATGCCTTTCTTGTGTTGTTCTTAGGTGCTGTAATGACTTTCTTTGCTCTCAGCCATAAAAAAAAAAGAAGAAATATTTATGAAGGTTTTTATATGGCCAATGTTTAAATAGGACCGAAATTACACTGTGATCTTCATCCCAACCTCCTCAAATGAGGTTTTATGACAACTCGTGTTTTATGACAACTGACAGGGCTCAGAGGGAGGATAAGTTTGGTGTAATAAAACCAGAAGTGATAATGCAACAGCTTAACGAGGCCTGCTCATAAAGGAACCCACTAATGGCACTGGATGAATTAAGTCGGCAGGATTTATGTAAACCACAAATTCTTCATGGCAGTAAACAGAATTTTCTTCTCCAACACTTTCAGTGTTTTTATTATAACCCCCCGACAGAAATCTGACTGGTGAGCATGACTCCACCCCACTGGTGCGCAATGATGGTTAAAACACGCGCTCCGTCTGACTGCATGGAGGAGTTTTTTTGGCTAATTTGAGGCTCAGAAAACAAAATCTGAAATGCCTTGTGGGGCAATCTTTGGTAATAATGCAAACAACGTCAGAAAATATTATTAATGTTGCATAAATTCATATCCCAAAGAATAAAAGTGATACATGTCAGGCCTCTGCTCCGTCCAGGAGCCTGGTGGCGCCGTCAAGACGGGGGCCCCATCAGTTGGGGCCGGGGTCGCTGAGGCAGCGGGCCAGTTTCAGCTGGTCCTCCTGGTCATCGGGCTCTCTGGGCCTCGCCGTGGCGCCCGTTCGACGGGTCTCCATCACCAGGCCGACGTCGTCAGGAGGGCCGGGGTCAGGAAGGGCGGCCTGGCCTGCGAGGCCCTCGCTGTCGTCATAGGTGTAAACTTTGTGCTCTGGAGGAAAGAAAAGAAAAGAAAGAAAGCAGCGAGTCAGCGACGCATTTTACACAAAAACAACCAAACCAAATAAATGGTTTTAATCAGGTTTTTTTGGACTGGAATTATTTTTTATTCATTTCCCTTAGTTTGAAGTGAGGAGCATCAACAAGAGTATAAACTGTTTTTTAGAAACACTTTGATCTATCCACTCAAATTCAGTTTTTGACCCCATATGGCATCATTTGAGTATTTCTCTTGAATTTGAACCTTCCAGAAACTGAATGACACCATGAATATACATGTAAAAGATCTAAAACTGGGTACCAAAAGGACAAAAAAGGAAAATGGACCAAAGTAAGAGCTCAGAAGGCCAAAAATAGGGCTGAAAAGATAAAAAAAAAAGTAAAAAAAACTGCTGATATTTATGAGCTCTTTCAACACATCAAATTTTTTCCTTTATCTAAAAAAATATGAGTGGGAGGGTTTAGTGTTCCTGTTTTTTGGTGAAATTTTACCATCCACTCTTAACTTTAACCCTCCTGTCCTCCTACTGTTTCATGCTGTGAGACCGTCTGAGTTCTGGTCACCCACCTGGTTCAAACCAGACTTTCCTCGCTGGTGGAGTCTGCTGGCGGTTAGCTGGGACCGTGAGGTAGTGACTCATCTGCCAGCCAAACAAAACAAAGCAAATCTGTGTCAGCAGGGCGCCGTTCCTGCAGAGGCGCCAGCGGCCGAGGCGGGGCTCACCCTCCGCTCCATCTCCACCCTCTGCTTCCTGAAGCGGACCTCGCTCATGTTGTCCTCAAACGGGTCCATGAACAGGTCGTGGCGGCTGTAGGAGCGGAGCTGAGGAGCAGAACCAATCAATCAATCAATCAATGTTTAGTCATATAGCACTTTACAACAACCGGAGCTGACCAAAGTGCTTTACAGAATAAAAAACAGATCAAACTATCAAAATATACAAAGACACATTGGTGACAGAACCCAGTATATAGAGATTTTGCATGCAAAAAGCCATCCTGAACAAATACGTTTTTAGTTGGCGAGCATGTGTCCTGACATGGTGATTCTGCTGGTTTGGTCATCACTAAGGGGCATAGTGTGGTTTTTTTTTTACGAGCATCAGCAGAGCCGGGGGGACTGAGGACTGTCTCACCCTCTGCCGGGTCTTCTGCAGGTTGGCCCGCAGGACCTTTCGGATTTCCGCCTCCCGGCTCCTTGAGATGTTGGGGATGGCTCGGCGCCGGGCGGGTTCCCTCTGCTGGAGGTTTCTGTGGAGCAAAACCACAGAAGAAGCCGTGAGGGCCTTCAAGGCTGCGGTTTGAGAGGCGCTTTGCGGATGAATCAGGCAGAAAAGGACGAGCAGAAAACATGAAAATGATCTTAGACGCAAACATAAAAGAAAAATAATGAAACTGCTAATTTAATATTCCCAAAATACATTTGCTGTGTTATTTCTGCGCTTTTTTAATGTAGTATTCTTAAAATGTTATTTATTTTTTGCTTCCATATTTTCTCTACTATTCATTTATTGATATATTTTTCTTCCATTTTCCCGCTTTTATTTGCAGCTCTACAAAACAACTAATTTTACATAATTTAAGAAAAAAATCTGTGAAAAATGAGAACAGCAAATATAAAATGGACGTATATAAATGAACTCTGTGGCTTCTATTAAAGCTGTTTGTTCTTATAATAAGTAGAATCAGACAATATAAAGACTATATATACGGATAATATACATTTAATTTATTAATCTTAAGGAATTATTCAAGTCAAGGCAATAGCAGAAAAAAAAAATATATAAATACTTACGTGTCATGGGGAATGTTTCAACATATGTTTATTTCTCTTTTAATGTGTCAACAATTTTTCCAATTTTTCTGTGACTTTGTTGATTAATGTGATTTAGATGATCATTCTCGTGACATCTGGTGAAGCCTGTTTTAGTTATTTTCAGGTTTCATGGGCCTAAAATGTTAATTAATAGAAGATGAGCATCAAACGGACTCACTGCAGAGAGGCCGAGGAGCCGGACGGCAGCAGCTTGCCGGCGCTGCCGCTCTCCACCAGCATCATGGCCTGTTTCATCTCCATCTTGTTGTAGAAGGAGATGAGCTGGGGCTCGGTGGAGCGCTCGCCGGCGATTAGCCACCGTTTCACATAGGCCTTATTGAAACGATTCAGCCTGAATGAGGAACAAACATCAGTCTTTACTCTTAGATTAAAGACAGAGGGGAAAGTGTTGAATTCATCTGGTCATTTATTAATTGCTTTAACTTATAATTTAGCTTGAAACTCATTAGAAATAGTTATCTTAAACCCAATGAGACACAATCACTGAATGGATTTTTATAAATATTCAACCCATTAGATAGAGATATATATATATATATATATATATATATATATTAGATAACTTTATTTATACCCGAATAAAAACCGGGTGGAAGTTTCTAAAGAGAGATTTTTAAAGTCTATAAATAAAATATAAAAAGAAGAAAGAGGGAGAAAAAAGTTTAAATAAAAACGTACTTGTCCTTCCAGTGATGATGTCCATAATGACCACAAATACCTTCAATTCCTGTGAGCAGATGGTCCAGGAACTGGGGGCAAAATTTGTTTGTAGATACTTTTGTTAATTACACGTGTTATTTTGAAATGTAGAATTTAGATCTATATTCATAAAGCACTTTTTAACCTTTCGGTGAACCAAAGTGCTTCACAGCAGATAAATAAAAAGGAGGATAAGTAAGAACAAAAAAAAAAAAAGAACAGTGAAAAACAATACAACTAAATCTAGGAAGATAAAAGTGTAATCTACTGGGTGCTAAAAGCCATCCTAATCGGTCATCCCACAGTTTATATGTTGACCTCAGCACTTCCAGAAAAATCTGATTTGTTGACCTCAGAGCTCCACTGGGATTATGGACTGTTAAAAGCTCAGATAAATTATGGGGTGGGAGGCCGCTAGGCGCTTTAAAACAAACAATGGACATTTAAAATCAGTTTTATAAAAAGGACAGGACTGCTTTCAGTAGTAAAACTGTAGATCTGTCCAGCTCAGTGGTTTCCAGCTCTCACCTGCGTGTGAATCTCCTCGTTAATCGACCCTTTGCTTTCCTTCTTCTTCTTCACAGCCAGGAGCTCCACCAGAGGCCTGATGGTCATTCCCTAAGCAGAGAAACAATCGAATCAAAACGTACAGCAGGAACTTTCTAAAAACAAATCCGAGTTCTGCAATTCAGCCACGCTGTTTGAGGTCGACACCTAGTTTGTGGTCATTTTCCCCAGAAATGTATCCTGAGTACTTTAACGTCCAAGGCAGGATTGGACTGCTTAAAAATGAGTAGAGGACAAAGGATCTGGGCTCAGAAAGGAGCCTCAAAGCTCACATAGGTTAAATCTGAAGGTTTGGGAGCTAAAAGTGTCAATTTTAGGATCAGATATCTATTAAAAGCATCTAGACTTTAACAGATGCGCTGTCATTTAGTGTAACAGGAACAATTTTAAGAGTTTGTTCTCCATTCTTTATTATTAATCTGACTAAACCCCTAATTTAAAGCCAGTGTCCAATATTTTGAATAAAAAACACCGTTTATATTTTATGGGTGTATCTTAATGTCTTGTTTTTGTTAGTCCAATACAAACACACAGAATTGCTGCTTTACTTTAGTTCATAGAATGAGTAGCATTTAGTTTTATAGTCGTGTGTAAATGCTTAATATTTTGTAAATAGTTTTGTTCTTGCATTATAATTTCAGAGCCGGTTAGTGAGAGGATTCACCTGCACAAAGACTGTGAAGAAGATGACGGTGATGATGGCTGTGAGGAACATGTGCTTTGTCTCGTTTTCGGTCAGCAGGAATCCCAGCGAGAAGGCAATGGCGCCTCGCAGGCCGCCGTAGGCCACAATGAACTGGTCCTTCTTGGTCAGCTTCACAATGCGGAATTTGTTGATGATGAATGTGAGACCAATGACTCCTGAAACCCACAAAAACAGTTTCATTCAGTTTAAAGATTAAATTCATGCTCATAGGACAGAAGGCAGCAGAGAGTTAAAGTTAAATTAGGACTGAATTTAATGCATCTCACCTTACAACTGACTATTATATGGCCTATTCCTTGATAGGCCATATAGTTATATTCCTTGAGTTATATTCCTTGATGAACCATCAAGGCCGGTACCACATTTTATGGATTTATTTCAGGGGAATCTTTCTGACATGCTATATAAATGAATAATTAAATAAACCTGAAGATAAACTTCAGGAAGGGAAAACATCTCTAACCATGACTAGCTTAGCCTTTCTGTGTCACAGGTTGATTTTATTCAATCAACTTTTTGTCTTTCCAGGTTTCAATGATATTTATTTTGATTATAAAAGTGTCTACAGGTAGAGTATACAGTGGTTAATGCCAACTATGATTCTAACAAGCAGATAATGTAAAAAAGATCCTGGTTCGTTTACACCAGGGAGAATAAGATGTGTTCACGTCGTCATCTGGTTAAGGAAGATGTTTACACACAACAAAAGGCCCTAATACACCCATGTCTGATCACCATTTTGTCGTACTGACCCAAAACTCTGGACACCAGACACAGGACAAGCGTGAAGGTTACAAAAATCCAGTTCCAGTTGTGGGGACCCTTCACTGTGGACACCCCGAGGAAGATGAAGATGAGCGTCTCGCTCACGCTGCTCCACATCTTCAGGAAGTACTTGACGGTGGTGTAAGACTTGTGGGAGATGTTGGCCTCCACATACGGCCGCATAACCACACCACAGGCAATCAAACTGTTTGAGATGTGAGTGGAAGGAAAAGATGGAGAGGTCTTACTGACAAAGACAGCCAGGCCATGCTCCAGTCGGCAAACAGACTCGATTAGAGGCACTTAAAGAATAAGTCAACATGCTCCTCTGATGAGGCAAATCCTCCTGAGTAATGACTGCTATTCTAGAGAACCCAGATACCCCAGCTTTCTACCAGCACTGAATGCAACACAGGATGCAAGAGCCAGAATCCCCAAGGACCCCAAAAATGGTCTGTGTGTGTGTTCATGAGGCCTTTTTGAACATGAAATGGTCACATCTATGAGGCTGGGTGGTCATATTTGGGTTCCTGTTCTGAGTGGTTTTAACATACATGTACATTTTGATCATGGGTTAACGCAAAGATTTTCATAGGGACACATCCAAAATCAGAGGACCGAGACTGGTGGCTGGTCTACTCACGACATGATCCCCGACAGATGGAAGACCTCCGCTGAGAGGTAGGCCATGTAGCTGTAGAGGAAGACAAACAGGGGCTCGATGACACGCGTGTGGGAGGTGAAGCGGGAGGTGAAGGCCCCCAGGACGCCATAGATGACGCCTGCCGTGATGCCTCCCAGTGAAACCACAAAGAAGGAGACCACGCCAAGAAGGGCATCGCCCACAGTCACCGTCCCAGCGTGGGAGAACTCCTCAAACAGGTGATACAGAACCTGCAGAGAAAGAGTTCATTTATGATCTTTTTAAACCAACAGAAGCTGCTCTTGTCTTACAAATAAAGGTTGGTGATTTAAAAAAAACATTGATATTCAAATAATTCATCATAACTGAGGCAAAAGTGGAGTTTTCAGCCTTTTTTTCCTCTTTCCTGTGACAGAAAACTCTTGAAATGTACTTTAGGGATGATCTTTAGGAACTTTTGGAACCATTTCACAATCAGAAACTGTTTATTGGCCAAGAATTTAACCTGGCCAAGCAGCACCAAAGAAAAACTAAAATAAATAATCACAACAAAAAAAGTGTTCTTTAAGTGTCTGTAGTAAGTCTAAATTTACTGATCCGACCCCACATTTGAAAACAGTTTTCTCCAATTTAGGAGTAAAAACATCTTTAATTTAATTTTGTTTTATTTAAATTAAATTGATTATTTTTATTTACTTGATTTCATTTCATTCATTAATTTTAATTCATTTAATTTTTTATTTCAATTTTAAAGTAGGACATACTCTTGTTGATGTTTATGGGTTGTAAGGCTACTCGTTCACATTTGTGTCTTTGAAGTCTACAATTTACCTGGTTGTTGTTTCCTTTAAATAACAAAATCTCACTAAATACTTGTTTACATAGATGCTGCCCTCAGCTTTCTGCTATCTAGCTTAATGTTTTTTTTTTTCTCATCTCTGGACTCTCAAGGTGGGACTTGGGACCGGTGATCCCTGGTTTTAGGATGATTTCTGCCCATCTGTGAACCGGCCTGTGGGTTTGTAATGAACCCCCATCGGCCTTTCTGCGCCACGCACCACGGTGACGGCGTCGTTGAGCAGCGACTCGCCGAACACCAGGATGTGCAGCAGCTCGTTGATGTGGATCTCCTCGAACACGGCCAGCACGGCCACGGGGTCCACGGCCGACACGATGGAGCCGAACAGCAGGCAGGACAGCAGCCCCACGTGGCCCACCTGGGCCGCTTCTATCTGGCACACAGCGAACATCATCCCGCCGATGAAGAAGGCGTTCCACAGCGTGCCCACCACCGCGAACGTCAGGATGGTGCCCAGGTTCTCTGTGAAGGACCTGCAGAGGGGGAAAAAAACCATCAGCACAGACGCAGATGATTAAACACGACTCCTGTTCTCTGTCTCCATCAGATTTAGCAGCAAATGGGTCAAAAATGACATCATGTGGCACATTTAAGTGCTCAGTGTCCACTGTCCACAGCACATCTTTTTCATCCTAAAGGGAGATCAGGCTGACTGGATTCTGAGGCCAATAAATAGCAGTGATGCTCATTTCTGAGCAATCACATGGCAAAGCTTGATTTTTCCTTTTTTTCTTTTTAAACATTTTTCAGTCAGCAAAAGTGCTCAAATCAAATATATTCTGGTCAAATGCCGTCTTTTTTGATTACTTTTTCTTAAAAAAACTTAAAAAAAACCTCCACAACAGACCGGATGGGCAGGAAGTAGCCGGCGTCCAGGATGATGGGCGGCAGCAGGTAGAGGAAGAAGAGCTTGGAGTCCAGGACGGGCGCCTTCTCCTCCATGGCTTCGATAATGCCGCCGACCAGCAGGCCGACGAAGATCAGCAGACAGCTCTCTGGGACCACATGGGACACTCTGGGAATGATGTGGAACCCTACAGACACACATGGAAACAGGATTTCATCTCGGATTTAATCTGGGAAACGGATATTATAACTTTCCTTAAGTTAAGGTTAGTTTTAGAGTGTATATTATATTCTGTACTGAATTTTGTAAATTAACTTCCTTTTTTTTGTCCTCTGTGAGCTGCTTCTGTCCTGTTAAGCTGCTAAAACCCAACCAAAACACAAAGTTTCTGCATCTTTTTGGCTTTCCACCCTGCCCAGGAGATGTTTTTAAGCTTTTTCGGTTTACCTTTGGCTTCCTCTCTTTAGTACCTATACCCACAATGCACTGCTCTTCATGCCACGCCCTCAAAAAGTTACAGACCCACACTTTTACTCGAACCAGAGTTTGGACGAGCTTCCAAACAGCTCTGCTGGGAAATCGCCCCAAAAAACATGTCAGTTTATCTAAAATTCACCCGTTTTAACATGATGTTTTCACTAAAAGATGAAAACACATTAAGATGAAGGAGGAGTTCATTATCTGGGTGTGTTAGTCCAGTTTTCAGAAGCTGGATTTCAAACGCTCTCTGGTGACACAAGTGCATTTTATGGAAGATTGTAAAACATTTAAAAGCTAATTTAAAAGGAGAGGAAAATCGATATGTTGTTAAACGGGAAGCGGCTGCTGCGTTCGGCTCTCAGCTGCACATTAACCGGGTCATGTGACCCCCGCCGGGGCCTTTGTGATGGACGACGGTGCAGCTGGAGGCCTTGAGTGCAGCTTTTCTGGCCGTTTTCCTTCTCTCCACACTGAGATCTTTGTTATCGGGCGGCGCAGTGGGGCAGGAAGCAGGGCCGACATCAGAGGCAGCAGCCGGGCCCACAGATAACAGACCTCTGAGAGGCTCCTCTGTGCTCGCTAGCAGGGCCACAAACACAACGTCTCACTGCATCTTTATCAGAGCTGAAGCTCCTCAGAGCAGGAAGTGAACTCACTGGGAGGCGAAAGGTCCCAGAGTACGATGGGATTTGCTTACAAAACCCCAAAAGGATGATAAGTGATGTCCGCAGGAAGGGCAAACCTCCCTGGAGATAACTTTTTTTTTCAGTTTCAACCCCAAAATCTAAAAAAAATGAGAGAGTAAAAATGAAAGAGTTCAAAAGTTAAAGGAAAATACCAAACTGTTCACCCAGTGTGACCTCACAGAAATAAACTGAAGCTGAAAAACGGATTCTCTTTCCCAGAACCTCTCCAAACAGCCCTTTAATGTTGTTTATGTCCTTTCTGGCCTTTCAGCTGCTGCTGGTGTGGACGTCTGGATTTTGAGTTACATCTGTTTAAAAAGGCCACTCTTAAAGGCGCAGATGGGTAAAAACAGCTGAACAAGGAGACAAATTTAGGCTTTTGTGGAGTCGCTGACTCCTGATTTGATTAAACAAACTGAATTGTCCAGTTAAAATTAGACATTAAACCCTCTCAATGAGCCACTTTTCTAAAGGAGGAGTGCAGCTGTGGCCGAGCTAAAGGTCGCAACGGAGTTTAAATAGAACCCCCCCCCCCGAGAGATTTGACTCATCGCTTTAATTATTCTGCGTAGAAACTCTCACAGGAGTTGAAGGATTCCACATGGCTTGTCCCAAAATAAACAGTTATCTTCATTTCATTTGTTTATTTCTGATTAATCTGATTGGTTCTGGATTTAAAACCAGAAAACTGAAGCCAAATTTCCTCTCCAGGTTAAAAGAAAAGCAAAGATATATTAAAAAAAGCCAGTTTGGAAATATTTCTCTTTAAAATCAACCATTTTAGTTTCTTAAACTTTCCAATAATATCATTTCAATGGAATAAAACTATAAAAATGCCTGATTTTGGCATTATATTGGAGAATGACCTGGAAGCAAAACATGAGAAGTAATTGAAATTTTAAAAGAGAAAATTTGTTATATTATTTTACTGACGTTTAGAATACAATTCAGTAATTCTTTGCCCCATAATAATCCATGAAGCCACTGGCAGAGCCAGCATCACTAATGAGCTCCTAAAGCTCTCCTGTGGAGGCCTGGTCAGGTCTCAGGTGTGAAAAAGAGCCCCTTCTTCATACTCTGAGGTCTAAAAAAAACAATATTTCCCACTTTATATGCAGTTACTGAACAAAAACTGCAGCAACAAACTGAAGCAGTGTGTTTTTCTGAGCTTTGTGGTGGATGTTTGCTTGTTTTTCTGATAGGAGTCAACATCTTTCTGATGATATTCTGATATTCAAGTGAATTTATTCAGCTGGGAAAACACTTTAATAAGTTAAACATTCTAGAGATGACTGATTAATATGTTTTTGCTATTCATATTGTGGTGGTAAAATAGGAACGTGTTGATCATTCCGTGAACACGCAACTTAATCAGATGGAAACTCCGCATTTCGCCCTTAATTTGATGTCTGAAGAAGAAATCAGATGTCTGCGTGAGGCCTCCTGCTCTGAGCACTCACCCAGTTTCATGAGCAGGGCCAGGAGGATCCATAGAGAGATCTCAAAGGGCTTCCTGACGTGCTCGTAGTTGAGGGCGAGGACGGGGAAAGCCTTCCTGTGGTCCGTGGAGTTGGGCTGGTGACGCGGCTCCTCGTGCGTCTCGTTGCGAGCCGCGGACGCGGCGAGGAGGAGGCAGCCGAGGGTTAGGAGGCACAACAAGCCCACCCGAGGCGACGAGGACGCTGGCCTCCGCGCGGGGCCGAGCACAGCCATGTTCAGACGGGCCGGACCGCCTCTGGACCCGCTGGGGAAGAGCGCAGCACGGACGGAGCTTTACGCACCGGCTCCGCACGCATGTCACAATTACGCACAGCTGGAGGGGAACGAGCGGCGGCTCGCGGCGCGGACAGACTCGCTCCTCATCCTCAGCTGCAGGTGGACTCGCGGGCGCGCCCTCACGAGCGTCTGTCTCGCGCTCCTGGGCGGCTCGAACTCAGCGTGGGCCCCACCGGCTGGGTGTTCCCGACCAGCTGACCTCCACCAGACGAAAACCTCCGCCGGCTGCCTTCCTCCCGGAGTTAAAGGGACATCTGCTGGGTGGAGGACCGCAGGAGCCGCCCGGAGGTCTCATTTAGATGCTTAACCAATAAACAAACAAACAATACCAAACACAGGACCTTCATTTGATCAATAAAAGACGGTCAGAGGAACTCAGGACTATGAGGACGGAAGGAAGAAACGAAAAAGGAGACAGAGGGATTAAAACGCAGGGGGTTGGGTTTTATAACTTGTAATAATCTTATGTAAATGATTCAATGTTGAGCTTTTGCTTCAGCACTTTTTAAATAATAATGTATATCTTATTTCTGTAAATGCTGGACACTTGATTCTGAATAAACAAAGAATGATGCACTATGTTTCTCCACTGCTTAAATCTGCCAAACCATTTAGGAGAAAAGTCCCCCCAGACAGAAAAATGTGCCCTTTAAGATTCTGGCTTTTATATGACTCACTTCTAAATAATAAAATAACCTTTATATATTCAATGTAATCTGCTCAAATAGACCTTTCTGATCAATTTTAAGAAAAGAATGAAGGAATTTGAATGTCTTGCACAGCAAAACATGGAATGGATCACAAATCAAGGCTATCGAATTTAAAGTAGCAAAATATTTGGGTTGTTTCCTACTTTTTTTTCTGATTGGTTTGTGGTCTTTCATTCATGCTGTGGAGCCTGTGGTGCCTTTAATTCACATGAACTGCTCCAAACAGACTGTGCAGCCACCTGAAAACGCATTTCCAACTGAAGAGCCGTGAGAACCGGACCACTATGAAAACATCCACCTGCACACAGAACGATGACTGGAACAGATTTATTTAAAAGTGAATCGTGTTTTTACAGAACCAACAGTTAGAAAATAGCGGTGAATTGTGAAAAAAATTGTGAAAAACAACTTCAGCTGCTTCTAAAAAATATTAAAATAAAATGATTTACATCTCAACAGGGAACATTAAACACTCCAAAAAATAAACCCTGAATGACTGAATTGAAGGAAAAATGTTTTAATATCAGCAAACAAGCAAATGTATGAGAATTTCTTGCAAACTTTTACGTATTTAGTGTAGTTTTGGTGCAAACTGTATAGAAATGAGTCACATCTGCAGCTCAAATAACTGCATTTGTTAGCAAACGATCAAATTCCTGCAAAGACGTGCACAAAATGTGCAGCCAGCAGCTCCCAATCACATGTTCTCTCCTCCTAAGACACTTTCATTCTCCTCCCAGAGACGCCTCCTCACTCACAGACCTCCTCTGACCTTCGCAAACATTCATCCGGAGCTGCTCAGTGATTGGTCGCCAGCTGGCGGGCGCTGTACAGACACACCCCAGTCCCCAGCGTGGCCATCGCCATGGCAACGGGCTCCACGATGCTGCCGTGCGGCTGCACCCGGACCTCTCCCGACATCTGCCTCTGCGAACAGGTGAGCACAGCGTGTTAAAGTCGACCTGCTCCTCGCACTCGGCCTCTGAGTCTCCACAGAAACTCTCCCAAATCAGCATTTCAACTTTGTGACGATAACCTTTGACCCACAAGAGATTTTGTAAATCTGATGTCTGCAACTGATTTCTGAGACCATTCTTGTATTCTTTGGTTTGGTGCAAAACCACCTTCCTCCTAGAAAAACCTGTCATCGATCCAACATGATTCAGATGAAGTGGACCTTCTTTAAAGATGGTTAAGGTCTGCTCTGGATTGCTGATGTTGCGTAGATGTGAATCAGGTGTGTAGAAGCAGAGAAACCCTCTAAAACCTGCAGGACAGCGGCCCAAAGAGGCCTGGAGCTGCCCTCCCCGGGGCTAAACTCTGCCTAAAGCACCAGCCGTCCTCTAAAGCTGATGTACAAGAGGAGGAGCCCAGAATCTGACCACGTTTGTCTGTCTGGTGAGCAGCTTATGTAAGGTCTCTGAGAATAAACTATCTTCATGAAATATGCAGGCGGCTTCCTTCCATGGTTTGATAAAGACGAAGCCTGGCTGTGGAGGCGAAAAGGGAAAGGTGGCATCAGCGATTCAGACAGACTCACCTGGAGGAGCCGGAAGTATCCAGGCGTCAGCCTTCCCAGTCGGAGCATCGTTCCTGCTGCTGAGGCGTCCTGCAGGGGAACAGAGCCGCCATTACTCAGACAGTCAGTGGTGGGGGCGATAGTGTCACATAGGAATGACTGAATTCTGAGCTGCTTAGTTTGACTAACTTTCCCCTTTGGGTTGTTTGTTTCTGGGTTCAGTTAAGCCCCACTATGCGGGAAAGGTGACAGCTCTGCTTTGATTAATGCAATTATTACACTGAATGACAATGTTAACCACTTTAAACATTTTTATCAGTTTTCCGATATAAATCCACATAATCTTAACATCTTTAGCTGCATTCAGCTCATTAAAGGAATCAAAAGCTTTCTAACTAATTCTGTAAAAACAGCCATCTGGCCCTGAAAGTTTGTCCTCTTTTCAACTCATATGTTTAACATATAAGACATAAAATACTGCTCACTCTGGTCAGTAACAAAGGTTAATATGTCAAGAAGCGGTCCTTCATCTGAGGTCTGGTCAGCTTAATTTAGCCTCCTGGTGAGGAGGTAAACGCATTAATGATTACCTCAACATGTCCTGATATAGAAACCTGTGGATGTAAATGAGGGTTTAATTCACATTGTCTAACTATAACGTGCTATTTTGAGTACGCACAGTCATTTTCCTCCCAATTATGCTGGTTTTAATCTGTAAACTGCACCAACATTCCTTCAAATGTTAATCAGACACCATAATGCAGCCATTAACACGTATCTGTGACATTTATACAAGAATTTGACTAATTTTCTGAGCAATTTTTCTCTGATGAAGTCACAATAAGTGGTTGAAACAAAGCTAAATGTAAAATCTGAAGCCTTTAAAAGCAACACAGTTCCACAACATCGAGAACATTTAGGCAAAGTGAAAGCTCACAGTTTGGGGGGTGTGCAGGTCCTCTGGGTTAGTCCGGCGCTGGTCCTCCTGTCATGCCGCTCTGAGAGGCTCCTCTGTGTCCCTGCTCTTTGTACAGTGGGAACGCCTCAGCTTGAAAAGCTCCAGCCTGTCACGGCTGATTTGACCATCCAGCCAGCAAAGAGAAGAAGAGGCTCTGTGCGGCGTGTTGCACGCCTGAAGGAACATGTGTGTTAATGCGCTGCAGTAACTTATGTAACCCAAAAAACACTGGAGGGGGGGGGGGTACTCAACAACTGTCCTGAATTTAGTAGCTAAAACTGTTTTTTTTTTAAAGTGATCCTATGCATGAAACGTCTGATGTGATGCTGGTTGTTCCGCTGGGTGCACAAATGAAGGATGATGGAGGGAGAATCTGCCCCACACAGGCCAGACTGAGGTGTTAGGGTGGCTTTAGGGTTGGTTGGGCTGAGTTTGGAGGTCCAACAGGGGGTGCCGCCCGTTGCCACATTGTTTGATCAGAGCTCTCATCAGCTAACTGGAACCTCCTCAGTCTTCCAGTTGGCCCCCCCGCCCTCAGTGTGACCTTGACCGGCATCCTCTCCTCAGCAGACTGTGAGAATTTTCCTCTGAGACCAAACAAAACTACCTCCTCTGCCTCTGCCTTGGGGCTGCTGCCATGCAGGTTTAAGTTGTTTCCTACTTTAAAACACATAATTCAGATGGAACAGATCTCTTTAAAAGATGGAGCCATCTCCAGTCTCATAATTGAGAATTGATCTGAATCAGCGAGTTGAAGCAGGAAAAATCTAAAACCTGCAGGACAGTGGCCCTCCAGGACCAGAGTCTGAGTCCCGTTCCTCCTGAGAGGATCAGTAAACTCAGTGGAACTCAAACTTTCTCGTCTGTGTGCTGCTTTTTTTCATCAGAGGCCATCAAACCAGTTTTATCTCCAGTTTAAGTGTCACTTTACAGGCTTTTAACAATCTTTTTGTTAGTTTCTAAGTGTTCTGATGGTGCTGTCTGATTTGACTTGGTTTGTTTTGTATGAGCTTTTTACTCTCTGACCTTTGACCCAGAGTAAAACTTGTGGATCAGCATCCAACAAACAAGATCACAGATCATTAATTGCTGTTAGTTTTTATTTGGATCTGTTCATCTGAGAATTGTTGTTATTTGACCAGAATTCAAGCAGTTTGTGTCAGAAGGGCTGAAATAAGACAAAAAAGCTGGGGGAGGGGCGTAAAAGGGGCTGTTTCAGTTGGAGTAATTTAAAGATGGCCGCTGCACCCACATGAGACCCAGACAGAGGAGCTGAATGAGTGATGTGATGGAGGAGCCAGTCTGCAGCCAGTTCGAGGGCCGGCTGCAGCCTGGGAAAACAAGCCTCTGTTTGTGAATATGCAGTGACGTCATGTCTACTTTTTGCCTCAGTTTAAACAGCCCAAACAAACCCTGAAAAATGAGGAGGAGCTCTGTCGGGTTTCCCATGAAGGGGAAGCCATCTGTGACAGAGCTGAGGCTCCGCTGGGTTCAGGCTGCTGCTTCAGTCTTAACTGGAGCTCTGGCCAGCGTCAGCTTCACCCCAGCAGGACCCTGAACACCTGTGCTCTCCACTGCCACAACGCGCCCCATAAAACTCTGAAAGGTGAAGAAAAAAAGGAGCTCTGCATCACTGTGCTCAGGATTACCTGCACAAACGCTCCCCTGTGGGCTGTAAAATGGGTGAAACCAGACAAAAAGCAAGCGTGGAAACCTGCGCGGGACGGCCGGCTGCCTGATCCTGCTTCGGTTTGGGTCTGGTTGTCTCCTTTTGCTTTTCCGTCTTAGCTTTTTCTTGCTGGGTTAGAAAAAAAAAGGAAATGAAACTTGGGTCTGATATGAGAACACCGCAAACGATTCTGGCTGTTATTTCTGGTTGTATCTAAAAAGCACAAAACCTTAAGGATCTCGTAATTGGAAGTCTTGGAAACATATTTTCTCCAGGAGTTTTCTGTCAGCTCCTGCTGCTTCCAGTGAGACTTAATCTGTGACAGAGAGATTCAGTGGTGCTAATATAACTTAAAAGCACAACATTCATGTGTCTGCTTTGAATAAAAAGGTGTTAAATCAGCACCTCTGTGTACACCAGCTTCTCCTCCCTGACGTCCTCCCTCTGCTCCCACTCCAGGATGCTGTTCTGATCAGCCGCTATGCTGTTTGCTGTGTCCTCTGACATCCTACAGATGGTGCTCATGGCCTCCCGGTCGGGGCTGATGGGCCTCACGCCCTCCAGGCTCAGCTCCCTGCACATCTCTGCCCAGACCTCACCGACCTGAGGCCGGGACAGACGCCCAAATTAAGGTCTAAATGCCAAGTTTCATTCAAATTTCTGCTTTCAGTTTGAACCCAAATAACAGAGAAACAGAATAATTAACAATAAAGGACATTATTAGAAGAGAAATGCAGCAGAATGATTCTCTCACAATGAAACCAGATCTGACTGAAAAACCACTCCTTCCTGTGGAATTTGAATCCGGTTTCATCTCGTTTCAGCCACTTTTTTCAGTGAGCGGTGACATCCTTTAACCAGCACCTGTCTCTATACATGTTGCACATTTCTTACCTTTAAGTCCGGATATCCCTTTACGATGCAGAGGGTCACATGATCCTCCGCCGACAAACCGCGCAGCTCCTGAAAACCTGAACCAGCAAAGGATGTGAGGACCACGAGTAAGAGTCTGTCCCACGTCAGCCAGCTGTGGGACTCTGGAAGCTGTGGTCGGGTCTTACCCAGACAGCAGAGGATGGAGTAAATATTTGCCCGCTGGTTCTGTGATATTTCCAGCACCACTGCGCTCTGTGTGCTCGCAGGAAAAGTCAAACTGCTGTTGCCCTGCTGGAAAGCACTGATGGGCCTCTGAGGGTCTAACAGGCAAAAAAACAAACACAACAAAGGAAGCTGTGAAACAAAAGGACAGTTTAGGTCTGTAAACCTGCTGGGATCACACTCTTTCTGTCTGGACTGAATAAAAGACTGGATACTAATAAGTTCCTCCAATATTTATTGCATCTAACCTTCTTCACTCGCCTCTAATTTCTGTATATGTTGAAGATGAATCCAGAACGTGCAGCAATAGCAGAGTCAGTTTAATTCTGCAGAGCTTACAATGAAAATTTGGTAATTTTGTAGCCTAAAGATCGAGTTTAAACTGCTTCTTTGCTGAGTTGGACACAACGCTGGCTCATCCCTTGAGTTAGGGGCCTTTTTTCTACCTGAATGATTCAGAGTTAAGTGGCTGAACCAGGAAACACATATTCCTCTGAAAATAGCTACAAGGACTGAAATTGAGAGAAAAGAGCCTCAGAAAGCTGCTGAGCTGCAGCTCAGAGATACTACGGAAGGAAATAAAGGCTGATCAGGATTTTTGCACCGTCTTGTCTGGCTGTCAGAAATCACCTCAAATGTGTATTTCTGAAGAGATAAAGCTCCCCGTCCCCTCTGTGGTTCGCTCTGAAGGTTTCCGACTGACCTGAAATCACTCCATGGGGGTCTCGGATCACCCCCAGCTCCCTTTCCTCCTCCCTCCACAGCTGCAGCAGGAGTGCTGGGGCAGTCGGACCGGTAGTGCCCCCCCATCTCAGGATGTAGAACGCAGTGTTTGGGTTGTCGCAGAGATCCATCAGGGTGGAGAGCACCAGGCCGTGCACACATCTGGGGCCCGTCTGGAGAAGAGAGCCCCATGGTTTGGTCTGGAGTTGCTGTAAATGCACTCACTGCATCACAGCAAACATCCAAAAGCTCTTTTCATTTAAACACAAATCTGAAATCCTTTATATTTAACACAGCAGTCTGCTGCGTACAAGGAGGATGTCGAGCAGAAGAGCTGCGCCTCCGCGAGCCAGGAAGAAATCCTCTGAAGTGTAGCAGCCCACTATGCAGGACCTGATGGGATGAGGACAAACAGACAGAAACCTCTGTTTTTTAAGAAATCAAAGATATTTGTCATAAAAAAACAGGAAATAATGATGTAACCTGAGACCTAAGAAGCTCTGAGATGTCAGGATGGAAAAGTGAAAGGTTTAAGGTTATTTCTAGGCATCATTTGCATATAATCCTCCAGATTTGGCAGATTTTTGTGGAACCACACATCAGCTATGGAAATGTCTTTCACAGTCACATTAAACAGAGACATCTGGGATTTCTAACCTAACATGTTCAGCCTAACCCTTTTGATTCAGACCTGATCTGGAGCCCAGTGATGATCTCCTGATGCCCCTGTCAGCTCTTCACAGATCTAACAAGAAGTTTCACTTCACACTGAAACATCACCTGAATTATCCACCAGAAAGGGAGCTTTGTACTTCTGGATTCAAGCAATATTTCAGAGCAAAGTTTTTCACTATAACTTGAGTAAATAAGTTAAAAGTTCTACTTCTGACAGACGTGTATTTACAAAATAAACTTTTAAAACCTCAGAACCTCAGGTCAGCGTTGGAGCTGGATCTAAAAGTGGATCCTTTTCATAAAGCATCCTGATGCGGTTCATTGAACTGACCACACACAGTCCACTGTGGAGAGGAGCAGCTTGTTGTGTCCAAGTCCGCTGTAGAACAAGCTTGAGCCTTTCTTTAGGAAGTGAAGTGCCATCTCAACTCCATCTGATCCAAACAGCTCCTGAAACACAAACGTGTGACATAAAATGACCTAAAACCTAATTTTCGCTCTGCTCATCCTGCATCCTGCACGACCAGACTACTAAATAGTTTCTTCCTCCTGGCCATCAGACTACTTAACGCCACATAACCCCCCCCCATACACACACACATATTTATTGATGTTTCGTTGCTAAAAATTTTACTCTGGTAGCCATTTCATTGTCAAATTCACCTCGTGTTTTTGACAATGACAATAAAGGAAGTCTATGTCTATGTCTATGTTTATTCAAACAGAGCTCCTTCTCCCAGCTCCTCTATCAAGACAGAACGGGTAGTAAACCATCACAGAGACTCTTGGTTTACCTTTCTGTGCATGTCAGGCTCACACAGAGCTGAGAGGATGAGCTGAATGTCTGACATCATCTCCACAGTGGCGATGTCCTTCCCGGCAGAACTGGCTTCCATCTCCATCAGAACTCCTGTGAAGACGCCACAGCTCAGACCGAAGTGGATCCATTAGCCAGCGAACACCGGGGCGCGTCAGCTGAAGTTACCCAGAAGCTGGCCGATGGCCCCCTGATCACAAAGGTCCTGGTTCACAGCCTCGTCTCCCAAAGACGTCACAGACCTGAGCGCTCGGATGCAGAGCCGCTTCTGAGCCTGCTTACTGCCTCGTCCTCCAGCGGGGTGGGGCTCTGGCAGCAGGGGAAGAAAGAGGAAACCTACTCACACAGATGGCAAAAAATCACAGAGAGGAGACGGGTTCACAGCTGGAACTAAACCTTTCTGTCTGACTAAACTGGCTCATTAGATCTAGCGATCAGGAAAGACTCCTCTTTTTCTTTTACGGACTACAAACACTAAAACTTGTGGCAAAACGACCCACAAAAGAAACCACAAAAGCCCAGAAGAAGCACGGTGTGCTGGGTCGCGGCTGGCAGACCTGCTACGACGCACCAGTCCAGCAGCAGCAGCAGGCGGGCGTTTCCCTGACAGGACATGTAGTCGTCCAGCAGCAGCGGGGCCACGCTGGCCAGGGCGCCCAGCGCCTGCAGCTGGAGCTCCTCCAGCTGGACCAGCGACCAGTGGCGCTCAGAGGGGGCGGCGGGCGGCTTGATGAGCTCCAGCAGGAACAGCACCACCAGCTCGTCTGTGTAGAGCTGCAGTGAGAGGCATAAAACTCGTTATGGTTCGGGTTAAACAGCTCGTGGGGAGACTCCGACTCACCTGCAGGGCGGCCGAGTCTCTGCACATCAAAACCAACAGATTCAGCAGAAACTTCTTCATCTTCAGGTCTTCGTCACTATAGCTGAACCTGAAGTTCTGGTCCAAAGAGTTGTGACTTTTCACTGAAACACAAAGAAATCTGCTTAGTTTTCATTTGCACATCAGTGTGAGAATAGAACTGACTGAACAGAAAGAGTGGGCTCACGCTCGGGAAAAGTGGCGCAGCCCACGAGCTGTTTGGCAAACAGACTCTCCTTAAAGGCAAAAACATACTGGTATCACAACAGAGACACACACGAGCAGCTGGGGCACCAAAGACGCCACTTTAACGAGTGCACTCACAACAAGAGGAGAATTTGGAATCTGAGCAATGAAAGTTGTGATCACGAGCAGACTGTTTCTGAGCTGGAGGTCAGAATGCTGGGAGGCGCTCACCATCAGGTGGCTGAAAGCTTCTTTCAGAGATCTGGAAGATAAACAGACAGCAAGAAAAAACAGCTTTAAAACCTGGTTCTGGTGCTCTCTAGCCTCAGAGCTGCATGGGGAAACCTCCTGTAGCAACACCAGCTGCTGAATGATTCCGAACTGATTACACTTTCTAACCCCTGTGAGCTCTGAGGCTTCTTTCTGAGCCCAGATCCTTTTTCCTCTGTTCAGTTTAAGCTGAACTTTCACAGAGTTCCTGTAATTTTCAGGAATTGTGTCCCTCTGCTACCTTTATAAATCAGATAAATGTCAGCTTTCCTCATAGATTTATAGGTGTTTTATGGATATTTTGGTCTTCGGGACACAGATGGACCCTCATAGAACACTCACAGTTTGTAATTTCTGGCTCCAGAAACTCACTCGTTCACTTTCAATGGTTTTTACTTTCAGAGCAGCTACTGAACAAATCTGTAGGATTTCTACATTATACATCAATGAGTTGGTCATGTTGCAGAAAAGAAGAAGAACAGAACTATTCGGTCCATACACGACACACTCCATGCTGCTGAGCTGAGCCGTAACCTCCTCCTTGCGGCCTCTCTCCAAAAGGTTCCAGAGGATTTCAAGGGAGCAGGACAGGACCTGAACACGAGGCTGGCCTTCGTTCATGTGGAGGCAGATCATCTCAGCTCCCCGTGCACGCAGAATAGAAGAACAGTTCACATCTGTTTTTACAAAATGAAAAAGATGAGTGATTAAAAAAGCACTGACCAGCAAACAGAGGTGTTCTCTCGTGAACATCCCGCTGACCAGAGGAGCAGGAGAGGGTCTGGAGTGTCTGCAGGAGCTGCAGCTTGATGGCTGGCCGGTTCTCCAGAGTGGCCATGGAGAGCAGCAGCGTCCTGGGGAGGTCGCTGCGCTCCAGCAGCTGTAGCCTGTAGCCAGCAGAGGTGGACCGCAGCCCTGCGGGTTACAGAAGACCAAATGCAGCTGGTTCGTCAAAGGGGAAGGTCGGAGGCCGTGACCTGCGGAGGTGATCCATACCATCAGGCAGCTCCACTTGACCCAGACAGCCATAGAAAGACTTCACGCATTCAACCACCTTCTGCTTCACTTCAAAGTGAGAAACCCGCATCAGAAACCCTGAAAAGAGGAACGCATATATCAGAGTCTCTGTTCTTTATGTGACCAATAGTTGTGTTTCTGACTGATAACTAATGATATGGATTTCCTTTACGCTAACTCGGACTGGATAACATCTCCCTAGATGGACGCCAGTTTTAAAGTGTCTCCACAATTCTTTTGTGGCTGTAGCTTGTTTTGCAGTGCATACTGAGCACATATATATATATATTTGTAAGCTCTGTGTTCAAAATGATCAGAAACACTGTTTTTCTGTTAACCTACGAGTTAAGGCCTGTATGGACAAATATATTAAGTTTAATTTGAGTAATTTCAACCCACTAAAAGTAACAGAGCCCAATCTAATTAGCAAACTGTAAAGTATACAATATAATGAGCTGTGATCTACAGAACAATGACGATATGCCTTTAAAAACTGGTTATGTACCAATGTGGGAGATGAACTCTGCAGCATCCTGAGCGTAGTTCAGCTCGTCGGACGCCTTCTCCTTCAGGAAGGGAAGCCTGAGAGCAGACGCCAATGATCACATGATCCCATCAGAGCAGAAACTGTTCGTCTGGTATCTCTACACATCTGAGCTTCTCACCCACAGATGTGAAGGGCTTCGCACAAACTGGGCAGATACTCGGGATGATCATTCACCTTCTCTGCACAAACGTTCAGGACTCTGGATATGCCTGCCAGCTCCCTTAAAAGCTTAAAAATACTTTAAGGAGTCATAATCATTTGACTGAAGTCTGTTGATACAGAGATGGATAAAAGGGAGCTGGAACCTTTCCTTAAGGTAATTTTAAGGGAAGCAAAGCCCCCCTTGAACAGGTCCAAAGACATTCCTGCTCAGGTACATCATAGACTTAAACACTCAGCCACGGACGTTTAGGAGTTCATTTGCAAAGAGGCATGATTTCTTATAGAGAACATTTTTGAAAGAATAAATCCAAAGAAAAAGATACAAAACCATTCTGGTTCTTCTTCAGTAGTTTCTTCAAGACAAAAAGGTGCCTCTCCTTCAAGTTTGTCTGTAATAAAATCTGTTAATTACATGGACAAGAACATCAAGCAGAGAATTAAATGAGCAACCTTCGAGTTTACCTACAGTCAGGGGATCTTCAAAAAGACGAACCACCTTATCGAGGTCCAGACTTTTAGCAGGAGGCTGCTGAAAATCCATCAGGCAGCATTAGCATTCATGGCCAAAGTCATTTATAATTGTATTTATAAATGCATTCCATCAAAGCACTACACAAAGAAATAAACTATTCTGCTCCATGGGGGTCCATTTGTGTCCTGAAAGCCAATGGCTGCTAGAAATATCTATGAAACAATAAATGCATGAGGAATGCTGACAGTTATATGATCTATAATGGATGCAGAGAGACACAATTCCTGAAAATTACAGGAATTCTGTGAAAGAGGAAAAAGGATTTGGGCTATGAAAGGAACCACAGAGCACACAGGGGTTAAATCTGTTTGTTTGGAAGCTCAAAGTGTCCATTTTAGGATCAGAGCTTCATTAAAAAGCATCCAGACTTTGACAGATCTGCTGTCATTTAGTGTTAATAGGTACTTTTTAAAGCAGCACAGAGTTATTTCTCCATTTGCAGGTCTTATCTATCAGACCAAGTTCCATCTCCTTATTTGGAGACAGTGTGAGATTCTTAGAAGAGAGAGATGTATGTTTTTAACCTATGACCTCTCAATTAGCTGACTGAACCCTGTTATTTAAACCTACAGATTTCCCTGTTTCTGCAAGTCTTTTGTGTCTCTTTAGAAATAATAATTCCATATCTGTACTATTTTCTTCTAAAAATACTTTAGAAATACACTTTAATCATTAACAACTATACGTTTTACCTCCTGCGGATGCTGGGTCTTGTGTGCTTCTCCCAGACTGCTAGAGAAATAATCAGGCACTTTTCTTGAGTCCATTTTTGAATGTTAGCTACCTTTAGACGGTCCGTTAAGTCAAATGTGTATCTTTACAGCCCAAAAACTCACTCTAAAACTGTGTAAATGTAAGTTGTGATTAGTTAGTAACAAAAACTGAATTAAAACCTAACTAAAAAGTTGCTTAAATACTCCCAAACGTCAGCTAAAAATCATCCATCACCTCCCTTCTTCGCTCCGTTTTCAATGCCCGGACCTTACAGCTTTCTGCTGTTGCCATGGCTACAGTGCAACAGCAGTACGGAGAGCAACGGAGTCCAAAAAGGTCCGAACCAAAACGCCTATTTCCTCGTTCACACAGGAAGTCTCTCTTTTATAACGGCGGCGCATTGATTTCTCCCCACAACAATAAAAGAGACGCGCTTTCAGGAGATCATTGAGGCGTTAGAGAAGCAAACGGCTGGTGAAAAACCCCTGGGTTGTGAAGAGGAGCGGCTGGTGGTGATGCTTTCGGACGCAGGTCGGTGTTCGCTACATGCTACAAGCTAAAGTGGGAGGCTGACATTTGTTTGGCTCATTTAAAGAGCTGGGTAATGTGAACGTGTCGCCACCTGTGCCGTGTTTACAAATGGATTCCCCCTTCTTTGGTCAAAGTATGCGTACATATACGCTCACGTGTCATAAAAAGCCTTAAGCAGTGACGAAAAAGGCCTTTTTTTAACAGGAGTTCTTTGTTCTGGCTTCTGTAAAACACACACGGCTTGTTTTTGTTAGCACAGATTATTCCGGGAGCGCCTCCGGTGCCCGGAGAGCCAAGAGAAGGAGCTCCGGGGAGTCACCGGGGGACAGCCAGGGCCTGCGCTCCTCGGGGAGGCAGATCAACGTCCGGGTGAAGCGCACCAACAATCCGCCACCTGGACAGGTGCGCTGCGGAGTCCAATTTTATCCGTGTCATCAAACGCACCACAAAACATGTGTTTTAATCCCAGTAACCACTGTGAGCCTCGTGGTAATAATTCTGACACATTTTAGGGTTTCTGCATCAGACAGCACACCCCTTTATAGATGGATTTAAAGTCACAGACCCACTCAGGTCATTTTTGCTGGATTTCTTCCACTATCTGTCTGCTGGAGAGAGTTTTTAGGCCCAACTCTTCTTCCTTTGTCCTCCACTGGTCCAGTTTCCTCAGGTTTTGAGGACTGGTTGCTCACCAGACTGAGATCTGCCCAGTTTTCAGCCAGCAGCTCTTTGGGAGTCCTCAGAAATCCTGTTTCCTGGCTGTCAGACTGTGTTTTCTTTGGCGTTTTTCCTCCATCAGCTACAGAAATGGAACAAATTATGTGTCTGTGTGACAGGCTGCGGCTAACAAAGAGCCTAAAGATCCACTCTAAACTGCTGCTCTGCTAATTGGACACAACACTGGCTCACCCTTGAGTTAGGGGCCTGAATGATTAGTAGTTAAGAAATTAAACCAAATACATTTTTTTCAATCTACAAGGTAAATGCTTATGAGGAAAACAAAACATTGCAGAAACCCAGATGAACCCTGAAATTACTGGATATTTTTAAGACTGCTGGCTGTTTACTTACATCTACTTCCTCTGGTCATTTAAATATTCTTTTCTGGGTCACAGAGCAAAAGAAAGGCCACAGACACAGAAGAAGAAGACGAACAGTCGGAGAAAAAGTACAGAAAATGTGAGAAGGCCGGCTGCTCCGCCGTGTACCCCGTCTGCTTTGCAAGTGCATCAGAAAGGTATTCTGGGAGGAATGGGCCTGGTCCGCCGCCCGCTGCGATGGCCATTAATGCCGG